GTTTCTGAAAATTTATGAACATTTTGCAGAATCTTTTATGCTTTTAGGACTCAACTGCTTTATGGGTATTAGTTACTGTGTAGATGATGGTTAGCCTTCGCGATACCTTAATATCTGAATTGAAGTCTGTGGGAAAATTTACTTCTGAAACAGGAGCGGGAGGTCACTGTTGAGCTCCATGTAGCTTTATTAGGCCAATACAAAGATAATTTGAAAGACATTGTGATCTAGGCCTTACAATTGTGATTCACAATTCCACATTGTCTCGTGGAGTAACAACGAGGCCTTTCCTGTTGTGTTCACCTGGCTGCCCCTGTATATTGCTGTCATGCTGCAGGAAACAGACGGGGACACTTTTGGCTCTTCCTCTCCTCAAACTGCCCTGACACACAATTTGCTGACCCTACCTGACCAGTCCTCCAGTTAAATTGCCCTGAGACCTTTGACATAGACACAAAGTTCACTGAGAAGTGCAGTGTAAATGTTGCAGTAGCAAAATTTTCCCTCAGAATCAATAAACTCTCTCTTTCTCTCTACCTTCTACAGTTAAAGTGGAGTATGTCACAGTTTTATAGACCATGCCTTCAGGAGGAATTTAAAGTAATCTCTGCTGCTTCTGAAAGTGCACACTCTGACCCCTGTTGTACCCCACCAAACCCCATATTTATGATAAACTTCAGTGATCACAACCTCCCCAATAAGTAGGAAGATGATTGTTTAACAGTAGTGTTAAACAGTAGTGTTAAATAGTGTTTGGCACTCTCACCTCCTAGTACAGAGATCTCGAGTTCTGGGTCATGTGAGATCTTCCTGTTATTTTCTAGTCCACAGCTCCTGACAGGTTGGCCCAGTGCCATTCAAGGATAGGGTGAACGGCAGAGAACAAGTTTACCTACAATAATGTGTACCTTTAAAACTGAACAATACTTAATGGACCTGTATGCGATTTCAAACAATCAGCAACATGTTATAGTTTGAAAATTTAACCCTCTCCTTAGTGATATTACACCAGATAGTACCATAGAGTTGTTTCCTTATACTTCCTCAATCTCTGCCTACTATTCTCTTTTATGTCACTCTTGAAAATGCATGACAAAGAATCAAATGACTGGGATAGTGTCAAGCTGTTGGTTTCCCATGATACTTAATAACAATGTGTCTGACCAGATGAAAAAGGGTAACACTGTCAGAAGCTTCAGTATTAGTTACTATCAGAGAAAATGCTAAAAATACATTCAGGTACAGGCCCTTGAGACAAATTAGGAATAGCTTTATTATAACCTTAAGCCTGTCAGAATTAAAAATAAACATTGTGATCCAGTAAGCACCCATGTTACATCTAAACATTTGCATATTGAGGTGCCTGAGGGTCTGTCACACTACACTCATTAGCAGGAATTTGAGTGCCCTTTAAACTTGCTCTCAACTGTCACATGGGCTTGGCCTTCCCAGGTGAAGACTGAAAGAGAAATCAAATTCTCTGCATAACTGCATCATCTCATTAATCAGTCAGTAATTATCTTTGGAGCAGCCTCCCACACACGCATAGTCGTTTACAAATAAGCTGCAGCTTCAACAAAGGCGAAATAAAATGGATTACAATTAGGCTAACAATACATATGGAAATATAAGCAGTCATTTGAACACGTATCAATACTGAAACCATTACATAGCATCAGGACACATTTCCTGAATGTTTTAGAATGGTCTGATCAATAGCAGAACTGAAACCATGAAACCATATACTGTACTCAGTTTTTAATCCCATATTTTAGGATTTTAACCAACTAAAAAGTGCAGCATGTGCAGTTCAAAGGACACAAGTAAGGGACTGTTGGATTCTGTGGAAGTGTTTTTCCTGTTTCTACGGAGACAGTGCAAGAGGTTAAGGAGATAGCTATGGACATTTGAGATGCTACAGTTTTGTTTTTTTTACACCATTAGTTGAGGGAATAGTCGAGTTCATCACCAACCGAAACACCAGAGCAGAGTAAAAATGAGACCTTGCTGAGATCTGAGCTGCTCGCCTAACTCCCACTGGACAATGCTTTTTTCCTGGTGCTGTTCCTCTCCTGAAACTGCCCTGACAGAAATCTGCTAACCCTACCTGACTAGTCCTTCTGTTAACCTGCACTGAGACCTTTAACTGAGACACAAAGGAGACTGAGAAGTATGTTTCAGCAGCAAAACCTCAATTTCCCTCAGGATCAATAGAAAATCTTTCTCTCTTTTCCTTAGTATCAAAAACAAGTTTTACATTTTAGTATGGTGACAAACTGGGCTATAGGTTCTGAAAATGACCTAAAGCCTCTGAAATGTCTGCTATTGTGTGCACACTATGTTAACAGGTTTTAACAGATTTAGACAAGTGTCATATCTACTGTGCTATCTTCCCTGCAGGTTCTAAAATTATACAAGGCTTGCCCATTTAAAAGCCAACTTCATTATGTGTTGTGCTGTAGTCTATTAAAATAATTATAAAAGCTTATATAAGGTCAGAGCATGAAGGTGGCATCATTTATGTAACTTGTTGACAGCATTTTTAGTGTTTGGCCTTGTTTCATGTGTATGAAATGTCAACACTGTGATTAAAACTTGGTGTCCAACCCAAACCACAACGCTGTCATGCATGCTCTGGAAAAGATTTCAATTTAAAGTCACGCAATCTTTGTGTGTTCTATGGTTGAGATGATTCAACATTTGACAGCAGTAACACACCTGACTACTTTAACTGCCCAGACATGGAGAGATAGAAAAATATTGGCAAGCGATTTTTTTTGAAAGTATGCCAAATATGCATGGAGAATAAACGGATCAGTAATTCATTAGCAAACATGGGAAAATTTCTGCTTCATAAAATATTATTGTACTGATGCATTTGAATGTAATTATAGATGGCAGGTTTTAAATGGTTCTAGAAAGTGCTACACCCAAACCATCTCCTGTTTAACAAATATGCAAACATCTCCGGTCTAAGATCAAACGGTATTACACAAACACTGAAATAATGCACTCATTATTAACTGGCGATTCTGCGAAATTTGATGATGTTAGTTTAGTGTGCATGCCATTTCTTCCTCTAAACCATGAACATAATCTAATTTCAAGAGAGATACACCTGCACATGATCCTGGCACTGATCAGAGGGCCCAGAGGGAATGACCATATCAAAAGTTGGAGATAAAAAATATAAATGCTGAGAAAAATACAACCAGAAATCTACAAAAGGTAGCTCAAGTAAGCAATTACATTTATGTGAAATCTATTACTGAATGCACATTCATATATTCACAATTAAGTTATTAGTTCTCCCAAACATTGATTAACTCTTTGAAGAAGTAAGATATGCTTTTGTTGTTGTTCATGTAGGAAATGTGTTCTTTTGCTTTGGTCCCACCCTTTAATGCCGCTGGGGCAACTTATCGGGAGCAGTGACGCCGCTGGTAGTGCCTAGTGATCCTTCTCCAAGTATTTAGCTATGGGTTTATAGTCAGGAGTACCTAGGGAATTGCTATTGTGAATATTTGAGGTTATATAGTACCAAACACTAGTAAATTTTTAACTGGGCTGCATTGCTCTAGGCTAGGGAATGGAACCTGAGACCTTCAAGCTGGTTTCAGCAATTAAAAAAAGTCCAGACAATTGAGTCAGCATAGAAAACTAAAATGTGCAAACGCAGGTGTTAAACTTAAGGATGATTCTTTAATTTCCAGACAGCACAGATCTCCTGAAAGGAAGGCAAACAGGTTCTTTTGCATCTATCACCACTCACTTAGTCAAACACAGCTCTTACACAGTTATAATTTTACAGCCTGTTATTTCATCATAGTTTATTGCTGACGTCAGTTTCATTCAGGACTGCAGAAGTTACTAAATTCACCAGTATGATAATTACAATGTGAGTAAACGATGATTGAGTTGACTGTTGTTCAGACATAGACCCTATCTTTCTCTCTCCTCCTCCCCTTTTCAAGTAAAACCTGCCAAACTTCAGCCCAAATCTCAAACAAGGAAACACATCCGGCGTCACCAGTCCTAACCTGTCCGATTACATGCTACGAATGAATTTGGCACAACACAACGCCAAAAAGAGTATTAAGCTTTAGCAGGAATTTCAGTCAATTCCTCAGAAAAATAAACACAAGAGGGGTGTGCCTCTTATCTTCTAAAAAACATTAGATTTGCCATGGGGGTGTTTTAACAGTGTTGTTAGACTGTGTAACTTTTTGGTGGGGGATCCATCACCTGCTTGTTTCTATGGATATGCCATTGCTCTGCCTGAATGTTCCACAGTATGACAAACAGCTCTTCCACACATTTATTCAAGTACAGGTGGTTTTATAGCTCAAAAACACCTACAAAACCATGCATTCTCATGGTGAGCGGGGTTGGTTGGTTTGGTCTACATGAAGACAGAAAGGTTTAATATCATACTGTGGAATATTCCAGAGAAAGCAATAACATCTCCATGAAGAAAAGTATTTTTCCTCCTCCAGAAAGATTACACAATGCACCTTTGAGTAAAAGTGATGCTTTGTTCTGTAGATAATGTGTTTGAAACAGAAAGTCATGAAAGATGATATTGTCCAGAGAACAGTTTATCATTGTACCTTAGAAATGTAACAAGCATAAAAAAAAGAGAGTAATGCCCTCAAAATGCCCTTTCTAGCAAGACTGAAAACAGCAGTGTTAAATAATCCATAGTGTGCTTTAAACATATAGAGTTAAAGTTACCTATTACACATTCAAATCAATATAGCGCCTTACTGTACAGTGACAGCAGCTCAGTCTGTTTGTTCTTATTGTTTTTGCGCACAATAGACAAGGACGGAAGTCTGTAGGAATCTGTGGCATCCTGGACTCAAAGCCGAGGTAGACGACCTCAGAGGAGGAGGAGGAAGAGGAGGATGAGGAAGAGGAGGAGGAGGGCGTACCCTGCTTTTATGGGACGTCCCAACACCAAAGAATATATAAGAGAGACAGACAAACTCTGGACGGGGATCTCCTCTTATCCCAGGAAACGGTAACATCAAATTTCAGTGGATGAATCAAGATAGAAACAGGTAAGAAGACTCATTTTAACTTTTATAAAAGTTACTGTTTGTGCAGTTAAGACTACTCAGTCTGGCAAAAAACTAAAATACAAGAGGATTAGATATTGTGAGTAAAATATCTAACTTTATAATGCCACTTACAGCCAACTCCCTACAGATAAAAGAGCAAAGCAAACACTCTAGCAGGATTACCTTTGACCGATGATGTTACAAGTAAAAGTGACTGTATAGAAGTGCTTTAGTGAATAAGGAACAAAAAAGACAAGACATGCGTTAAGAAGAATAGGGTCAAATGCCACATTTTGTCTTTTTTGTGTTGTTAAAGCAGTAACTTGTGTGTTTTGGGAATGTGGGCGCATATAGTAGCAAGTTATCACGGCTGTCAAAATGATTATGATTTATGTGCATCTAAAGCTATGGGGATTACTGTGGTTGCTGTTTTGTGCAACAAAGAAGAAGGCTTGATATCCAACCTGTCTTAATAGTATTAAATGAATATGCAATATAATCTGGCATAGCCTTTAAAGTTGTTGAGTAACAGTGTGAAGAAACTGGTAAACAAATGAGCAAACCAAACCATGACCATGACCAAGTTTGGAGAAACAGACAGAAGCGATGCAATATAATACTTTGTGTCAGTCTAATTTGAATGGAGTGCGTCCGTATTCAAAGCATTTAACAATTGAGATTACAGTTATATCTGGTACATATATGAGAATCATATGAGAAACATCTTTTTGTATCGAGGCAGCCTTCATAAGAACTAGCCAAGAAAAATCCACAGCTCAACTAATTAAATCTTGCCCCATCTTATTAACCGCTACAGGTAAATGCTGTGATGTGATGGTGTCTAAAACTATAACTGCAGAGATCGTTTGCTGTGTTTGACTCACAATGGTTAACTGTGCAGGAGAGTGGCTAATCTGTCATAAATCTGTCATAAAACACTAGAATAGAAGGGCTGGTGTGTTTTTAATGACTCTACAAAAGGAATGTGCTTACAAATGTAATTACACTATATAGATTTATGTAGCCTGTTTTGTCAAAAAGCTTAATATAAACCTATCTGGATAAACTGCACAATATAATCTCTGTGTAAATGTAAGGTATTCTCTAACCACTAATACACCATTTAAATTGTTCTAAAAACTCCCGCACAGAATACAGTAAAGACCTAAATATTCGATTGCTCATTGCGTCAATGCCTCCTGTTTATTGCTGGTGATTGTGTGAAAGAATGCTGTGCTCTGATAATGAACGCTGACCAACATTGACGGGTGTAATGAGGCCAGCAAAGTGGGCTCATTACACCTGTCAATCATCAGACCAAGTCTCACCCACTTTAACCTTTTAAAGCAGCTATGATTTCTCTACAAGTGTCACTAACATAGGTTTTAAAACACAAGGTCCTAAATCACACAGAGAAGGGGAGGGGACCAATTACAAAGTGATAAAACAAGTTAAAGTGTCAGTGGACAGTTCTGGTTTCTGTCTTATTTATTATGTGCTGAGGAAATTTGCCTGTTCATTTCATAACGAAGTGTTGCTCTATTGATTGCTGTTTTTCAACTAACATAATCGATCTTCGAGCAAAAGAGTTGATTAAAAACAACACTTATATGGGTTTCTATAACTATATCTGCTACTTCCGCACAAAGGGGCAACAAAATTCACTACTACAGATATTCCAAATATGCTGTGACTCAAAAAATATGCAAATTGAACTGTATTTAAAGATGCACTATTTAAATTAATTTAGGGAAGCACTATCTGCTTGTCTTCATGGGGATGCTTTTGCTTTTTATGGAAATGTTCCACAATGTGACATTAAACTTATTCTTATATTTAATTAGTAACTGGTGTCTCTATGAAAAGAAAATACCTGTCACTCGACTTGGTGGCATTACCTGCTTGTCTCCATTACCTGCTTGCAGATAAGATTAATGTCATACTGTGGAACATTCTCGGTACATTATGTCTCCATGTATTACAAATAAGTAACAGATAAAGAAAAAGAATTTACATCGAGTACCTTTGAAAAGAAGATGTTTGTCTTGTTTTGTACATTTCAATATAGTTCAGCTTCTGTTTGCTAAGTCAGTCCCTCAGGTAGAGACACTATCTGTTAGTTTTGGCTCTCACTGCTATGAAACTATTTGAAGATTCTGATACAGGGCACTGATAAAAATGTTGAGGGCGTGTGAAGATTTCTATCATTATGTGAAATATTACTGTCTTGCTGTTTGATTAGATTGTGATAAGTGACAGACACGGGCCTGTCCTTGGCTGATTTATGAACAGGTCAACAATTTCACATAGTTTAGTGTAAATCGGTGGTTATTGCAGTTTGAATAGTAGACATCAATATTATACTTGTTCAATAGGTTGCCTGTATTTTCAAACTATTTTAGATGACCCAGCCTGTTGCAGTTCCAGAAGCAAATTTCCCAGTCTTTTCTAAAAATTTTAATACTTGTAATGTAATAAGAAACTGAAGGCACTAATGTTCATGATGCAATTATTTTCAGTTAAAAACACACTTAAAACCTAAAATTTGGTTTCACATTTTAATAAATTTACGGTTTATTAAAATCTCATAAATAGATTGTGAATTAAAGTATGTGGCTTATGCAAATTAGCTACCACATGTTAATTAGTCTTCAATAAGCTTTATTTTTTGAAAGAATGAAAGTTTCTTACTTCAAGATCCTAAGAAGTGGGTGGGACGGTTGAGCTCCTTTCTATCTTTATTAAATGTTTTGTATGTCAGCACAGTCCACTTTCACTTGTTTCAAATTGTAATATTTATGCTTCAACATCCAAACTTGCATGGCATGATAAAACCTATGTGCATTTAAACACATATTATTTGTCAAGTATAGACTTATACTTACACAACTTACACAACAATTAGATTATATACTTACTAATGCTGTGTGAAAACATTCCCATAGATTTGTCATATAGTCATAGACATTAATAAACATTCCTGACACCTAAACACTACTGTGAAAGCAGGTGACAAGATGTGAAACTGCTTTTGTAGGCTGTAGAACATGTCAAGACAAAGTCATGGAAATACAATACAAGGGTTGGGACATTAGCATCCTTATTTCAGCAGTTATCACGATAACACTAACAAATGCCAGGAAAAGGATAGGCCTAACAAAGGGCTATACTCCCTCTCATCAGAGGACATTTGGTTTCACTTATGCAAGAGACAGTGCAGGCAAAGGCAGGCCAATAGATTCGGATGCTGAATAAATTGCAAACGGACCATAATACAGCAAAAATAACAGAAAGTAAAATGACAGTATGGTCTTTGAAAAGAATTGTACTGTTTCTGTATGGCTATACACTCAAGTTCCACTACAATTTTGGATGAACTTCAAAAATATTCTATATAAATATAATCTTATTAAAATGATCAAGACATGCCAACAAATAATGATTTAAGTAACTGAAGAATAGCTAAGAGTTGTACTGAGCCAAGAGTAGAAGTTTGGTATCACTAGTATTCTCTCAAACTAAAGAAGCATTATCACTTTCTACTTCATTTTATAGCTTTTGTCTAGTAAATAAATACTAAAACAACTTATTTCCACATACAGTATTTTGAGTACACCTACACCTTCAAATTGCAGTGATAATATTTTCTCTTCCTCTGCATACAACTTAACAATTAGACTTTTATGACTTGATTAGACATAGCATGACCATTAAAAGTAAAATATGGCCCTATAAAACATTGTAATTGTTTATAAAGGTGAAAGAAAGTTTGTCAGGTGAGTTGTAGAAGCGTTGAGCAGCTGTGGTTAAACATCGGTAAATATATAAAGTGCCCTAAGATATTCTTGGACACACCTTTACCACACTGTACAAGAGTCACTGCATCTTCTGAAATGGGCTATTCAGAATGACCTGAAATGGCATATATACCTCAAACCCATGGCTCTTAGAAATGTTGTTATAAACATGCAATATACTGGTCTATTACTTTGAACAGTGCTATTTCCGCCAGTGAGAACAAACACATAGGCTACTCAGAGTGAAGCGTAAATTCAACAGGAAAGGGGAAGGTGCAGTCTAGACTATCACAACTAAAAACTATAGAGAAACAATAACATCTACAACTTCTACAAGTGATATTATAGCAACTATCAAAACTACAACAGGTTCTAAGGCTGTAGATCATATAAGCACTATAACGAGAATGCAACTGCAGGATTTGCTGGGTTTTACATGAAATCACAATATTCTATAGACCAATATATTGTTAAAATTTTGATCTAGCAAGTTTAAGGGTGTCTATATCACTAACAGAAATGATCACGTATGTGTGTGAATTCTCTTTTTAAATATTTCTTGCGAATAATATAATCACAATCTAGAATCTGAAAACCATCAATTATAATAAGCAAAAATAGCTACTCATTACTTTCTCATTTATCTTGCAAATACATAAGGTATCAACTACAATTGAAACATTTAGGTAGTAATTTCTTCCTTCCTGACTCCAAACAGTGGGTCTATTGTGATTTGAGCTGAGAACGTCTCTTGCATGAGTTCCTCCACACGCCCAGTTTTCCGTCACTTTACATTTCAATGACATCACCCTTCACAGAATCTCCCCAATAAAAGCGACCAATCAGCAGCCAGGACACAGCTTCCTCTTTCCACTCACAGCTGGATATGTTACACAACTCCTATGTTGCATTTCAGTTATTACATGGGTGTATCGTTTGTACAAATCCTGTCTAAAAGGTCTCTGGGCAAGTTTCTAGTCATGTCACTGCCAAAATATGACAGTAACAGGCAAGAAATAATTAATAATCTAGCAGCAGCAGTTATTAAATCAAAATTGCACCAAAAATAAATTAAATAAGTGTACTTTTACTTTTAAAATTTATTTTCAAGAGGTCCTCAGCCTAAAGTAAAGTGTAGACATATTTTTTCACTCATCAAGTAATTTGTTGTATGCGTTGCAAACCTTGGAACTAACACTATAGCCCAGTGGATAGAAAAACTAAATATGCATGATTCAGGACTTATTCAAACTTTGGGGGAATTATTACTTTATGACATTAATATTGATAAGAACTGAAATACTTTATGCATGCAAATATTTAAATAGCAAAACCTGTCAAGATTTGTTTTTCTTTTGTGCAACTACAGAGTTTGAGATTCAGAACTGTCACTGGCCTATTTATTGCAGCAATTCTGGCTGTTCAGGTTATATATGAAATACAAAAGTCATGATTCAAATAAAAATAAAGTGTTAAAGTGCACAGTTTGAATCTGAATTTTGAATCTAGAAACTTCTTTAATTGAACTGAATGTCATTTCTTGAACAAACTGCATTTTGTTTGTTTGCAGGAGCAGTATATCGAAGATTTCAGTATTAAGTCCGTGGATCCATAACATAAACAACTGAAAGGTACAATCTAATACCACCACTAAACTAAACACAAAAATGTATGACATATATTATTAAGTTTGTTTTATGATAAAAAAAAAATATATATATATATATTCTCCTTCCTGTCTATTAGTGAGAGAATTTACAATCCCAAGTCTAGCACAAAAATAGCCTTAATTATATACTAACTCATGTTTTCTTCTCAAGGCCAAAGACAAAATCATTCCTTTGTGTCAATCAGTGACCCAACACATCATACAGCACACAGTCTTAACAACCAGTGCCTCCAGTCTAAGGCATGCACACAACACTGACAATTGCCAAAACAAACAAGAACAAATATGTTGATCATAATAGAATCAATTATGTTATTATGTATGTTATTGTATGTCTGTAGCTACAAATAGCTTAATGAACACACCTAATTAAAACAAGCAGAGGTTTTCTCCTACTAAAAAACTAAACAAAAACAACAAAAAACAACAAAAAACATTTTATTGCCGTATTAAGTTTGGGCAATACAAAAAATTAGTTGCAGGACTAATGGATGGTATTGCTCAAATAACCTATACCTCATCAGAACAGTTTCAAAAGACTATAGAGTTATGTAACAGTGTAAAGTAAGAATTGCACCATTGCAGCCATTAAATTGGCATATAGGCTCATAAATCAAACAGTCATATGCATTCAGTGTAATAAAGTCAGCAGGAACATTGCCATCAGCTGTGATATGGCCACAGGCACAGCAGTGACACATGAGAACATGCGTCAAGACAAAACCTGTAATATTTCAGAGCATGAGTTATAAGTGTACAAGATCTAAAGATATAGTGCAGATACTATTTACTATGGCACCAGGGTACATTGCTTTAAACCATGTATAATGGGTAGGAATTTATATTTGAGACAGCCAAAAGATTTTCTCCTTATTATTTATTATTTTATTCATGCAGTTATCACTACTGTTGTTTAAGCACATAAAGAAATATTTACTATGTATCATAAAATATACTGAAAGACTAAAGACCACAAATCATAGGGGATGGGAGTTCACAAGTTCTCTGTTATTTCGACTCCTTTTTCACTGATCAAATTTGAAATGAGGATGATATACAGTGAATTTGGTAAAATGAGTTAAAACAGTACAGACTATTATTGCTATTTAACAAACACACACAAACTGTGCCATTTCTTCCTTTAAAATATTAACTCTGCTCCAAATAACATGCGTTTACTACTGTAAACTTCATAAAAAAAAAAAAAAAAAAAAAGAAGATTAACTGCACAGTCCTGCACAGCCCTAATGTTGCTGTTTTTGTTTTGTTTTGTTTTGTTTTTTTAGCTCAAGATGAAGACAAATGGCCATACAGATGTCCATGGCCCTGTGGCGGGGGTCTATCTGAACAAGGCCAAAGAGAAGATCTCAATTTATCAAGCCATGAAGAAACGCCTGCTCAAACCTGCTACAGCTTTAGCTCTTCTTGAGGCACAGGCTGCGACAGTTGGGATCATCGACCCAGTGACCAACAAAACACTCCCTGTTACTGAGGCCCTCAAAGAAGGAATAGTTGGGTCAGAGATGAGAGAGAAACTCCTAGCTGCAGAGAAGGCCCTTAGTGGATACAAAGACCCCTATTCTGACCAAGAAATATCCATATTCCAGGCCATGCAAAAAGAAATAGTGACAAAGGAGTATGGGTTAAGGCTACTTGAAGCTCAGATTGCAACTAAAGGTGTATACGATCCCATTGAGAAGGTGTGGAGGTCAGTTGACGATGCTATCCAAAATGGGCTGTATGAAAAAGGTTTGCTGAACAACGAGATGTCAGAGCTCAAAGTAATTTACAACCCAAACTCACAGGAAAACGTCAACTATCAAAGTCTAATGGAGAAGTGCATAGTGGACCCAGACACAAGCCTTTTGCTGTTCCCAGTTTACATCACTTTCAAAGGACTCAGAAAAGGAATCTCATCAACAGAACTGCTTGAATCCAAGATTATTGACAAAGAAACATTTGAAGATCTACAAAAAGGCAAAACCACCACTCAGGATGTCATGTTACTGGAGTCAGTGAAGGAGTTCTTAGAGGGAAAAGGTAGTATCGCTGGGATTGCCATACTCTCCAACAACAAAAGAATGAGCATCTATCAAGCCATGAAGCAAGGTATACTGATGCCTGGTACTGCCTTGGTTTTACTGGAAGCCCAAGCTGCAACTGGCTTCATGATTGATCCTGTGGAGAACAAAAAATACACTGTTGACGAGGCTATTAAAAACAAAGTGGTTGGTCCAGAATTCCACACCAAACTTAGATCAGCTGAGCGAGCAGTCACTGGATACAATGACCCATACACAGATGAAACAATCTCCCTGTTCCAAGCCCTGTCTAAGGATCTCATTGTAAAAGATCATGGCATTCGTCTACTGGAAGCTCAAATTGCAACAGGCGGGATTATCGATCCAATCAACAGCCACAGACTCCCAACTGAAGTTGCTTTCAAAAGAGGCTATTTTGACGAAAACATGAACTCCATCTTGGAAGATTCAGGAGATGACACTAAAGGATTTTTTGACCCAAACACAGAAGACAATCTCACTTACCTCCAGCTGATGGAGAGGTGTGTAATTGACCCCATGACCGGACTGTGCCTCCTTCCTCTTCATGATAAAAAGGGTGGAAAAAACTTTAACATAGTCTTTATTGAGTATGATGTAAAACTTGCCTTCAAAAAAGAGATGGTAAAAGTGAACTACGGCAAATATGCAGGCCTGACCGTGTCTCTGTGGGAATTGCTCATGTCTGAATACTTTGACGAGCACCAGCGACGGGATATTATTCAAAAATACAAAGATGGAACACATGACATGAAGACAATTGTAACCATGGTTTTAGAAATAATTGAGAAGTCAGTCAAAACAACAGAAGTGGTCTTTGAAGGCATTCGAGAAACAGTCACTGGGCAACAGCTTGTGGAAGCAGATATTATAACTGCTGATGTTTTAGACGATTTACAAAAGGGTAAAAAAACAGTCAAAGAATTGGCAGAGGATGAAACTGTCCATGTCTATCTACAAGGAAAAGACTGCATCGCCGGTGTTATTCTCCCCAACTCCCAAATTATGACAATTTATCAAGCAAGAGAGGCTAGACTGCTGATGCCTGGAACAGCACTGATTCTACTGGAGGCACAAGCAGCAACAGGATTTATCATTGATCCCATTAGAAATCGAAAGTTCTCTGTTGATGATGCTGTTAAAGCCAAGATTGTGGGTCCTGATATTTGCCAAAAGTTGCGTTCGGCAGAAAAAGCTGTAACTGGATACATAAATCCCTATGATGGTAAAAAGATTTCACTCTTTCAAGCCATGCAAAAAGACCTAATCATTAAAGACCATGGTATCCGTCTTCTTGAGGCGCAAATTGCAACTGGGGGCATTATAGACCCTGTAAACAGCCTTCGTATCCCTGTTCATGTGGCGTACAAGAGAGGATACTTCAATGAGGAAATGAATGAAATCCTTCTTGACCCAAGTGATGACACCAAGGGATTCTTTGACCCAAACACCTACGAAAACCTGACGTACCTGCAGCTTTTGTCCAGGTGCATTACAGATCCTGTGACAGGTTTGTGCCTCCTTCCACTAAGAGGAAAAGAGAAAAGAGTTAACATTGATGACAACATGAGGGAAATCTTCTCCACAACTATTGTGATTGTTAAATATGGGCGTTTTAGAGGCCAGCACACAACCCTGTGGGAGCTGATCAACTCAGAATACATCTCAGAAGAAAAAAGACAAGAGTTTTTCAGGCTCTTCAGATCAAAGAAAATCACAGTTGATGAGCTAATTACAATAATTCTGGAGATCATTCACACCAAAGAGCTAAAACAGCGAGAAGGAATGACCTTTGAATGTCTCAGAGGAAAAGTTTCAGCTATGGATCTTTTGGAGCTTGGAATCCTGGATGAAAAGAGCTACCACTGTTTGCTCGAAGGAAAGATATCAAGCAAAGATATAGCTGACAGACTAAAAGATTATCTTAAAGGAAAAAGTTGCATTGCTGGAGTGCTTCTTGAAGAATCTAAAAAGAAAGTGAATATCTGTGAGGCACAAAGAATTGGCATACTTACCCCTGGCACTGCCTTATGTCTTTTGGAAGCACAAGCAGCTACAGGTTTCATCATTGACCCATTGAAGAACCAAAAGCTAACCGTGGAACAGGGCCTCAAAGAAAAGATAATTGCACCACAGATGTATGAAAAGCTGTTGTCTGCAGAAAGGGCAATAACTGGTTACACTGATCCCTACAGTGGACAAAAGATTTCTCTCTTCCAAGCCCTCAAAAAGGATCTAATTGTGAAGCAGCATGGCATCCGTTTGCTTGAAGCACAGATTGCCACCGGTGGAATCATTGACCCACTGAAATGTCTTCACCTGCCTCTTGATGTGGCATACAGGAAGGGGTATTTTGATGAAGAAATGAACCAAATTTTGAATGACCCAAATGATGACACAAAGGGATATTTCTTCCCAAAGACATCAGAGAATCTCACCTACCTGGAGATGTTGAAGCGATGTGTCAAAGATGAGGAAACAGGGCTATATCTCCTTCCAGTGAGTGACAAGCCTGAAGCAAAAGAGACGAAAGTGTACACACTGGAAGAGATCAAGAAAGAATTTGAAAAGATATCAGTAAATGTGAAAGTGGATCGATATGCTGGAAAATCAGTGTCATTGTGGGACTTGATTCACTCAAGGTACTTTACTGAAGACCAACGCAATGAGTTCATTGAAAAATACAGGACAGGCACAATGACCACACAGACCATTATCACAATAGTCATTTCTACCATTGAAAAACTAGAGAACAGTGAAATTCCTCAAACTGTAATGGGTCTAAGGAAGCCAGTGTCTGCACGGGAATTACTAGAGAGTGAAATTATTAAAGAGGACACATTCAAAAAGATACAGGAGGGAGCGCTCACCTTTCACACAGTGACTACGTGGGAATCTGTGATGACGTACCTAAGGGGGACCGGAGCAATTGCTGGAATAAAAATGCATCCATCAAACAAGGTTATGAGCTTTTATGAGGCAAAAAAGCAGGATCTGCTGACTCCAGGTATTGCATTGCTCCTACTTGAAGCCCAGGCTGCAACAGGTTGGATTATAGATCCCATCAGAAATAAAATCTTGACTGTGGATGATGCTTCTAAAGAAGAGGTGATTGGACCTGATATGTATGAGCAGCTTCTCTCAGCTGAAAGAGCAGCGATTGGATACAAAGACCCATATACTGATACTACTATATCCCTGTTTGAGGCAGTGAATGAAGAACTGATACCGAGAAGCGATGGTATTCGTCTTCTAGAAGCACAAATGGCAACTGGTGGAATTATTGATCCAATTCACAGTCACCGGTTACCCCTCAAAGTTGCTATTAAAAGGGGATATCTTGATGAAGAAACAAACAAAGTTCTTCTAAACCCAGATGAGGAGCAAAAGGGATATTTTGACCCAAATACCAAAGATAAAGTGACATACCTTGAGCTGATCAAAAAATCTGAGAAAGATGCTGAGACTGGCCTATTTCTGCTACCTCTATATGAAAAGAAGGATCAGGAATTCCACACAAATGAGCAAATAGAGCTTTTATTTAAAAACACACCAGTCAATATCGATGCAGGGAAATTTAAGAACAAAACCACAAACCTATGGGAGGTTTTAATATCTGCATATATATCTGAGCAGAAGAGAAAGCAACTCCTGGAACAATACAAGACAAAGACCATTACAATTGAGGAGATGATTGAAATTCTTACAGTCATAATTACAGAAGCCTCGTCAAAAGAAAGAAAATTCAAAGGTCTGAGAAAGCAAGTGTCTGCCAGTGAGCTTTATGAATCCAAAATTATTTCCAAGGAACTTTTTACACAGATTATTCAAGGAGAAGTGACTGAGGAAAATATCAATAAAATGGAATCAATTCAGAAGTATCTTGGAGCCACAAACTGCATTGCTGGAGTAAGAGTGGAGTCTACAAAGAAAATCATGAGCATCTATGAGGCCAAGTGCAAAAATTTGCTAACCCCTGGAACATCTCTGGTTTTACTGGAAGCACAGGCTGCTACTGGCTTTGTCATTGACCCAGTGAACAACAAGAAACTTTCAGTGGAGGAAGCTGTGGCTCAGGGAGTTGTTGGTAAAGAGTGGAAAAACAAACTGCTGTCTGCAGAAAGAGCCGTGACAGGATATAAAGACCCATACACTGGAAATACAATATCTCTGTTCCAAGCTCTTCAGAAAGACCTTATAGTAAAAGACCATGGCATCCGTCTGCTTGAAGCTCAGATTGCTACTGGAGGCATTATAGACCCAGTTCATAGCCACAGAGTCCCTGTTCAGGTGGCATACCAAAGAGGATACTTTGATGAAGAAATTAATCTGATTTTGTCTGATGCTGGTGATGACACTAAAGGTTTTTTTGACCCCAACACACAAGAAAACCTCACCTACCTTCAGTTAATAGAAAGGTGCATCATAGATCATGATCTTGGTCTGGTTTTGCTCCCCATTGTAAAGAAAGGAGAATTTTACTTCTTTGTTGATGAGGCAACCAAAGTCATTCTAAAATCCAAAACAACCAACAAAGCAGGTGGAAAGTACAAAGACATCACTGTGTCTGTGTGGGAGCTGCTTTACTCTAAATACATCACAGAAGAGAAGAGGAGAGAGCTGGTTGAACAGTTCAAGTCTGAGGCAATAACTATTGACCAATTGCTAGAGATTCTCCTGACAATAATCCAACAACAGACCACAACAAGTACAACTACAACCATCACCACCACGACAGTGACAAAGACAAACAAAGCTCCTACATTTCATGGGATCAGAAAAGACGTCAGCGTTACTGAGCTGTTTGAATCGAAGATCATCAGTGAGGACCTTTACAAAGACATTATTGATGGAAAACTAACTGTAGAGGAGATCACTGGGATGGAGTCTATCCGAAAGTATCTTGAAGGAACCAACAGCATCGCAGGAGTTTATCTGCAATCCACCAAAGAAACCCTGAGCATTTATGAGGCCAAACAAAGGGGCCTCCTGACTCCTGGCACTTCACTAGTTTTACTGGAAGCACAGGCTGCAACTGGCTTCGTCATTGATCCGGTCAAGAATAAAAAACTTTCTGTGGAAGAAGCTGTGGTTCAGGGAGTTGTTGGCCAAGAATGGAAAGGCAAACTGTTGTCCGCAGAAAGAGCCGTTACAGGATATAAAGACCCATACACTGACGAAACAATATCTCTGTTCCAAGCTCTCCAGAAGGACCTTATAGTTAAAGACCATGGCATCCGTCTGCTTGAAGCTCAGATCGCCACTGGAGGCGTCATAGATCCAGTTCACAGCCATAGAGTGCCTCTGCAGGTGGCATACCAGAGAGGATACTTTGATGAAGAAATGAACCGAATACTTTCTGATGCTGATGATGACACTAAAGGCTTCTTTGACCCAAACACTCAAGAAAACTTGACATATCTCCAACTGGTTGAGAGGTGCACGACAGATCCAAAAACTGGACTGAGCTTGTTGGTGATTGCGAAGAAAGGAGAATTTTACTTCTTTGTTGATGAGGCAACTAAACTCATTCTGAAATCCAAAACAACCAACAAAGCAGGTGGAAAATATAAGGGCCTCACTGTGTCTGTGTGGGAGCTGCTCTACTCTATATACATCACAGAAGAGAAGAGGAGAGAGCTGGTTGAACAGTTCAAGTCTGGAGCAATAACTATTGACCAATTGCTAGAGATTCTCCTGACAATAATCCAACAAAAGACCACAACAAGTACAACTACAACCATCACCACCACGACTGTGACGGAGACAAGCAAAGCTCCTCAATTTCATGGGATCAGAAAAGACGTCAGCGTTACTGAGCTGCTTGAATCACAGATCATCAATGAGGACGTTTACAAAGACATTAATGCAGGAAAATTAACTGTGGATGAAGTCAGTGGGATGGAGTCGGTCCGAAAATATCTTGAAGGAACTAACAGCATCGCAGGAGTTTATCTGCAGTCCACCAAAGAAACCCTGAGCATTTATGAGGCCAAACAAAGGGGCCTCCTGACTCCTGGCACTTCTCTAGTTTTACTGGAAGCACAGGCTGCAACTGGCTTTGTTATTGACCCAGTCAAGAATAAGAAACTTTCAGTGGAGGAAGCTGTGGCTCAGGGAGTTGTTGGCCAAGAGTGGAAAGGCAAACTGTTGTCCGCAGAAAGAGCCGTGACAGGATATAAAGACCCATACACTGACAAAATGATATCTCTATTCCAAGCTCTTCAGAAGGACCTTATAGTGAAAGACCATGGCATCCGTCTGCTTGAAGCTCAGATCGCCACTGGAGGCATCATAGATCCAGTTCACAGCCATAGAGTGCCTGTGCAGGTGGCGTACCAGAGAGGATACTTTGATGAAGAAATGAACCGAATACTTTCTGATGCTGATGATGACACTAAAGGCTTCTTTGACCCAAACACTCAAGAAAACTTGACATATCTCCAGCTGGTTGAGAGGTGCACGACAGATCCAAAAACTGGACTGAGCTTGTTGGTGATTGCGAAGAAAGGAGAATTTTACTTCTTTGTTGACGAGGCAACTAAACTCATTCTGAAATCCAAAACAACCAACAAAGCAGGTGGAAAGTACAAAGGCATCACTGTGTCTGTGTGGGAACTGCTCTACTCTATATACATCACAGAAGAGAAGAGGAGAGAGCTGGTTGAACAGTTCAAGTCTGGAGCAATAACTATTGACCAATTGCTAGAGATTCTCCTGACAATAATCCAACAAAAGACCACAACAAGTACAACTACAACCATCACTACCACGACTGTGACGGAGACAAGCAAAGCTCCTCAATTTCATGGGATCAGAAAAGACGTCAGCGTTAGTGAGCTGCTTGAATCACAGATCATCAATGAGGACGTTTACAAAGACATTAATGCAGGAAAATTAACTGTGGATGAAGTCAGTGGGATGGAGTCGGTCCGAAAATATCTTGAAGGAACTAACAGCATCGCAGGAGTTTATCTGCAGTCCACCAAAGAAACCCTGAGCATTTATGAGGCCAAACAAAGGGGCCTCCTGACTCCTGGCACTTCTCTAGTTTTACTGGAAGCACAGGCTGCAACTGGCTTTGTTATTGACCCAGTCAAGAATAAGAAACTTTCAGTGGAAGAAGCTGTGGCTCAGGGAGTTGTTGGCCAAGAGTGGAAAGGCAAACTGTTGTCCGCAGAAAGAGCCGTGACAGGATATAAAGACCCATACACTGACAAAATGATATCTCTATTCCAAGCTCTTCAGAAGGACCTTATAGTGAAAGACCATGGCATCCGTCTGCTTGAAGCTCAGATCGCCACTGGAGGCATCATAGATCCAGTTCACAGCCATAGAGTGCCTGTGCAGGTGGCGTACCAGAGAGGATACTTTGATGAAGAAATGAACCGAATACTTTCTGATGCTGATGATGACACTAAAGGCTTCTTTGACCCAAACACTCAAGAAAACTTGACATATCTCCAGCTGGTTGAGAGGTGCACGACAGATCCAAAAACTGGACTGAGCTTGTTGGTGATTGCGAAGAAAGGAGAATTTTACTTCTTTGTTGACGAGGCAACTAAACTCATTCTGAAATCCAAAACAACCAACAAAGCAGGTGGAAAGTACAAAGGCATCACTGTGTCTGTGTGGGAACTGCTCTACTCTATATACATCACAGAAGAGAAGAGGAGAGAGCTGGTTGAACAGTTCAAGTCTGGAGCAATAACTATTGACCAATTGCTAGAGATTCTCCTGACAATAATCCAACAAAAGACCACAACAAGTACAACTACAACCATCACTACCACGACTGTGACGGAGACAAGCAAAGCTCCTCAATTTCATGGGATCAGAAAAGACGTCAGCGTTACTGAGCTGCTTGAATCGCAGATCATCAATGAGGACGTTTACAAAGACATTAATGCAGGAAAATTAACTGTAGAAGAAGTTAGCGGGATGGAGTCTGTCCGAAAATATCTTGAAGGAACCAACAGCATTGCAGGGGTTTATCTGGAGTCCACTAAAGAGACCCTGAGTATCTATGAGGCCAAACAAAGGCGCCTCCTGACTCCTGGCACTTCACTAGTTTTACTTGAAGCACAGGCTGCAACTGGCTTCGTCATTGATCCGGTCAAGAATAAGAAACTTTCAGTGGAGGAAGCTGTGGCTCAGGGAGTTGTTGGCAAAGAGTGGAAAAACAAACTGTTGTCTGCAGAAAGAGCCGTGACTGGATATAAAGATCCATACACTGACAAAATGATATCTCTGTTCCAAGCTCTCCAAAAGGACCTTATAGTTAAAGACCATGGCATCCGTCTGCTTGAAGCTCAGATCGCTACTGGAGGCATCATAGACCCAGTTCACAGCCACAGAGTCCCTGTGCAGGTGGCGTACCAGAGAGGATACTTTGATGAAGAAATGAACAAAATTCTGTCTAATGATGATGATGATACTAAAGGCTTCTTTGACCCAAACTCTCATGAAAATCTGACGTATCTCCAGTTGGTTCAAAGATGCAAAATTGATCCAAAAACAGGACTAAGCTTGCTTCCACTTAAGAAAAAATAATCCTGTGGTTAACCAAAAAAAAAAAAAAAAAAAAAAAGAATAACCTACATATACAAAAATTGTGCCTAATAACTATTTTAGAAACAATTGTGATGTTTATGTATAAGCATTTTTTTTACCTCTTAGGTTTGTCATATTTATGACAGGTGCACTGGAAGGTGTTTTTCATATTTTCTTTTATGCTGTCTAGTTTGTCTGTTTTCTTACCATTGGATTCAGCTTTGCACTAGTTTGTATTGAATATCAAATGCAAATCTTGAGATTTGTAATAAATGTATTTCTATGCACTTCATGAATCCTTTTATCTGACTATATCTAATAGAATCTAGATGATTATGTGTGCAATGTGTCCTCCTAACTGACTCAGAAATCTGCATGGATTCAGACTCTTCCCATCCTAAACTTTGCAAAGCAGCAGCCTCTAGTGGACAAAAGTAAAAACACATAATATTTAAAAGACTTTATTTACAAAAAATGTAGGATATCACATTATTGAATTAAAGTATGAAAACATCCATGTAGGAAATAGTACATATTAAAGTATCTAGATACATTTTGTTTAGATCACTGAATGTATGAATGCACTGAATGTTAAAAAATGCCACCCAAAGTATGAAGTATGTAACTGGGCAAACTGACACCATTATTTACTTTTAGTTAGTAGTTAACATGGACACAGCACAAGAGGGGCATCAAATGAATAGCAAATGAAAAGTAAGATCACTACTCCAGTTTCTCAAGAAACTGATGAATATCTTCCTGGTCTCTGTAAATCCGCTTTAGTCCTCTTGGGAGACAGCGGCATGATGACAGGTTAAGGTACTTTATGGAACTTGCTTGCCCAAGTAGTGCCCTGTAAAGACCACACATTACTGTTTGCATTTTAACAAGGAGTTCAATATAAATCAAGCTGTATGCTAATATAGGATCGAAAAGAATACCAAATCTGGGTTATATTATACTTCTGAACACCTGGTCCATTTAAAGAGAACCAATCACTGATAGTGTTTTTTAAAGTTTTCACAGACAAAAAGAATATACAGGTTTGAATTACTATGAAGTTCTTTTTGTGTTTTTTTTTTTACATATTGTTGTCATTTCCTGAATTGAATGATTTTCAATAATATGAAATATAGAACAAGCTAAATTCCATTCAAGCAAAGAAGATCACAACAATCTGAATAAAAAAACATTGAGAAGCATGTTCCCACAGCCCTGTATTCTCACATTTAAAAGACATTTCTGAACCCCCCATCCTAATCATAGCCAGGTTCTAACCTCGACCATGTACCTACGAGCAATAAATGTGGGAAAACAGAGCTGACCCTGAATAGTTCTGAATGTCTATCAAATTCAACAATGCATGCATCAGTTTTTATTTTGACATAGTAACAGCAGAAATTACAATATTGTGTCTATTTTAATATTTAATTAAAATAAAATTACATACTTGAGTGGTGCTGGTGTGATCCTGGTGCCACTGAGGTTGAGGGAGTATAGAGTTTCAGGGGTTTGAGAGAGGAAACCTATGGCACACTCTAGGTCATCCTCCGTGAAGGGCTGGTTGGCAATGTCCAGCTGCTGCAGAGTCGCGCCCCACTTTTGAGTCACCAAATGAAGTCCAGTTCTGGGCAGTGACAACATGCTACTGCCATTGAAATACTGACCCCAGAAGAGACACTCAAGATCTGGAAAGGAGGCAAAATGTATGGTAAATCAATTAAAAAAGGAGGCGGAAGAGGTCCTCAAAATCTGTGTTCAGATATCTAATTGATACTTTGCAGTGACATCACACTGAGGGGGTTCTACATGTATCACTATGATGGAATGCACAACAGTTACCATGGTGACACAATACACACATTAGTAAACGCTGTCAAAAATCTTTTAAGATGAAAAATATTAAATCAAACAACACATTTTCAGGAACCTGTTAGCAATACGAGCGTTCATGGACCTGTGTAGGAAAAAGGTGAGTGACTAACTGAAAAATGTTGTCTTATGCTAGCTAGCTTGTGTTATTTCAGCCTTGTTTAATAGCACAAATCAGCGCACCTGTTGTAGTTCCAGCTAAATCAGTTCTTTACATTCAGATTGTTTAAAATAATGATCAGATTACAGACTCAGATATCACACCCCCAGGGAATGTTGACATCAGCTGCAAAATATCAGGAGAAAAAGAATACTACGGTACATATCTACAGCTCAGATTATACTTTGCATCATATTATTATAAAAGCATACTAGAGCAGGGCAGAGCAGCCAGTCCAGTTGATGTGATCCTGGAACATCCTCTGAGATCCAACACCCGCAGTTTGGTCGACCCGAAAAGAATGTGGAGAAGGTCTTTATCTGAAGTGAAACTGTACGACGTGGTGGCCAAAGAGAGCTCTTCCAACATCGGAAAACCACAGGATGACTCCAGACCACGCATGTTTTTATTCATTGGTATTACATTCATCATTCTTAAAGTCTGTGGAAAAAATGCAAAACACGATTGTTATTCAACTACAGTTTGTGACAGTGACAGTTTGCTTAATTTAAAATTCTTGTAACAATAATATTTACAGTGTGTGACAAAAATACTTTAAGGCGCATTAAGTAAATTTTCAGGTAGGCGTGTGCCACTGGTCTCAATGGACGAAATAATCACAGTACGGCAATAAAGAAATCTATACAGTTTTAAATCTTAAAACATGCCTTCATACTGTGAGTGGGGTCACCTCTTTACAGATTTGATCTGAAACTAGGGCTTGCGGTGTCATCTAAAGCACTTGTATCAATGGGAATAAATAAGTAATGCCATTCTGAAGAATATTCCAGACAAATTCTCCATGGAGACAAGCAGGTGCCAAACCCTTCAGACTAGACTAATTTAAAAATGTATAAAATCTTACTTTGAGTTTAGGACAAGCCGTCTGCAGTCCTTGGATACAGACATGCAGTTCACAAAGTTCAGTGTCCAGTTTTCTGTTTATCTCCAACAATTCTAAATGAGGACAGCAACCCCTCTGGAAAAACACAACACAGTTGAATTTCTGATTAAAATGAAGCTGACAATATTCTATTCAACAAGTCTTACGCTGAGGGCAGCCAGTACTCTATCTAGTTTAGGTCCGTGTGTGAATAATATTTCTCTGAGCTGGCTACCATTAGATTCAAGGAAATCCTGAAGACCTTCAACCTGAAACTGCAATATACAAATAAGGTTAAACTGAGGCAAAATCTTTTATTAAAAATATAGTTGTAAATTGTATTTACCTCAGAGTACTGAAGATCTATTCTATGCAGTGACTGACTATGGAGACTGATGCTGTCAAAGGCCTTTGTTGTTAAACCTGAGCAGTGTGACAGTTTTAGACAGCGCAGGTGAGGGCAAGACTGAGACACAACCTGGAAATACAGATTTTTTTAGTGATATATACATATACATGTACATATTAATAAACACACAGCTAGTGTTGGGTTTTAGATGACATCACTACTTCTCTAACCCCGCATAACATGGAGAAATACTTACTTGCACGGCATGATTCACATTACGTATCCAGTGACACAGAGAAAACTCCTGTAGCTGAGAGAATCTGCAGAACAAAACATTTATTAGGGTGCACATTTAGTTGCCCTGTGCCCATTTGGTCCTTGTCAAATCTAGGTCTAATCCAGGTTTAGTTCTGGCTCTGCGCTGCGTGTCTGCGTGTATGTAAGGGGGAAAGCAAACTCACAAAAATAATTATTTGATAATGTAGTCACTCTTTAAATGTAAGTATGATTCCATTATTTTCAACGATAAAATATTGAACTTGAAATACCTGTTTTCTGCAAGCCAGCTGATAGTGTCTTTAATCTTCTTCTCAGTCTTGGGCAGCTGGCTCCTCCTCGGTTCTATCCAACAGTGGCCGACAGTGACACTACGCCACAAGGCTGGGCTGGAGGCTGCTGTGTACCATAATCGACACACTCTAGCAACTCTATAGAAGAGACCAGATGAGAAGTAAGGAGCTTCATTTGATAAACTTGATGCACATTATATTACAGTAGTACGGAAATGTAAAAAAAAAAGAAAAAAAAGTTGCTCCAACAGTTAGTGCTGCACTTTCACAAATATCCTGACTGTGGCTGCAACTTTAAGGATAAAATGGTCACTAGTTCAAAAAAAAGCCAGTTGCACTGTTTTAATAATACATTTGGAAAAGCACAATTGTGTAATGCTATATTACCTGCAGAGAAATGGCACTGCTCCATCTTGAACAACTACCTTTTGGAAGATTCTGAATAAGCACCTCCTCTGGAAGACTCTCTCCCCATCGGTTATCCATTGCCTCCAGTGGAGGAGATTCCTCTTCTTTTTCTATTAGAGGCTCCTGAGTAAGAACAGGCTTTGGGCCTGCCTTTTTCTTTTTATTCTGGACCAAGGTCTTTTTGTTTTTAACAAGCTTCATCTTTTTTTTTCTTTTTTTCGGTTTAGTATACCGTGTCTCTCCATACTGAGACATGCTGCTGGACACAATTAGGAGCATATCTTCTCCCTGGTGAACAGTGTATCCGAGTCGAGCCGTCTTTGCTCTTTTCTTCTGTGTCCCCTCAGACTTTCTTTTTAAAGCTGCTTTTGCTGACACAGCATTACCTGTAGAAAAGATGGCGAGTGAATGATAATGTATTATTTCTTCTATTTCTTATATCTTTATCATTCTAATGACAATATTAGACAAAAATTACAGCAGTTCATCAGAACTGCAGAATATGCACAAACATGCCTGTAAATGAGGTTTATGAGGTGTCAAACTGACAACAAGGTGCAGAAATAGAACATCCTTTTATTATGATAGACTTGATAATAGAATTCAGGATGGAACATAAAAAACACTGTTACCATTGAAATCCACCATGTTTGTAATAGTTGTGCAAAATACTCAGAGATATATTATGGATATATTAGCCAAACTAATGTTAAAAAGGAAATGGTACAGTGAAACAATCCAATAAACTGCTGGGTCACTACTAATAAATACATCTATCATTCCATAGTGTTAAAATACTTTTGAATAAGCACTAAGTTTAGTATTTAGCATCTTAAAATCTCCTTTGGTTTAATATTAGGCTCATTGAAAATTCTCTAAGGTGTGATATCACAATCCTGAGCTCTATTAATATAAAAATAGTATAGTATATAATATAGAATGTAATATATATAGTACACTCTGCATGTGAAATACTCGTCTTACCTCCAACTGAATGTGATCGTCCTGGTGCGGACACCTCATTTCCAGCATTTGGCTCTTCATCTGTGGGTTCCATTTTCATTAATTTCTGTCAGTATTTCTCTGCACATCTGGTACCTTAAAACAGACAGAGATGGCTAAAACGACTCATAGACAGTCTGTGATACGACTCGATGAATCTGTATATCTGTAATAATGTCCTGGTACAAAACATTATAAGCCGAATCGTACATTCGTGAAAACCCAATATCATGAAGCCTTGAGTGTTGTTATTATTTTAACGTAACTACTAGCTAACCAACCAAATGTAACGTTGTGATGCTTTTAGAAACTGACAAAGGGGCTAATAAAATGAGCAGACATGCCATTTTAAACCGCAAACTCTCACGTTAATTTACTAGCGGCGAATGAAATAGCATACTCTAAAACAATGGTTTAAATTGAGAATCAAAGTTTAGCTAGCTAGTAGTGAAGTAGTAAGATGGTTTCACCAGTAGCGAAATGAATTTAGCGTTAACGCACTTACTAAACATTGAGTCCCATTTAACAAAGACGGCCTCCATGCAGTATTTCATAAGATTTACATCTATTTTTTAACATTCATTCACGTTTCTTAAGGCTGCTGTTGCCAAACACTGGGTACCCTCCCACAATGCACCGCAATCTCCTATCACGTGATTGGCAGAAAAAAATCTCGTGAACCCGCCCTCCGCAAAATAGACCAATCACAACGCAGCATATGGATCTGGTTGAGGTTCTTCGTGTGGCTGGCTCATGCTAACCATCAGTAAGATATTTTAATTGTATATTTAATGCACATTTTAAAACATAATGCAATAACACAACAAGCGACAACAAGTGACCTAGCTTTATTTCTCAAAGCGTATTCATTTTCTAATTTTTGGCAGATTTTTTGCCTAGTTTATGTGACTGTTTTAGTTAACTCACCATGCTAACTGCAGCTTGGAATTTTGCTGTAGCTTTAGCTTTGTTAGCAATTGTTTTGTTTTCATTGTTATATACAGATCATATACTTAAGCTCCGTTGGAAAACCTTACCCAGTTTAAAACGTTGCAATAATACAAATCTTATTTTAACACAAATTGGTGTTTTGTTTAGTGTTTTAATAATCTTTTTGTTTTTTGATTAGAGTATGCCATTGCTAAAACATTACACCTCTTTCAACTTTTTCATCATTAAATATATATTATAATATTTATAAACTTTTTTTTTTTGTTTTTAACAGGTAATCATGGAAAGTAGTGAAGACTATTCTTTAAGTGAAAAAGATGTTGTGACTGAGGCTAATCTGAGTAAGTGGGAACATGTAGATTGAAATCTAGAATCTAGCACATGCTAATTTTGCATATTTAAACCATATATATATATATATATATATATATATATATATATATATATATATATATATATATATATATAAAGTATTTTTTATTAAATTTTTGATGATGAAACTATTTAAAATATGGATGGATGGATAATTTAATTTTTGATGATGAAACAGTTTAAAATAGAAAGCGAGATAAAGTCCACACACTTACTCCCAATCTGCATTTAATGAATGACACAATGTTTGTGTGCCACGCCCATATATACCTTCTGCCCACTGATTGGTTAGCCAATCCAAAAGTGAGCCATAGGAGATGTCCGTACAATTTCAGATTATTTGTTTATCAACACAGCGAATGCACATGCAACCTGAGAGCAGAAAGCATTGCTGTCAGTGCAGTTAACCTGAAGTTGCAACACTAGGTAGCGCTCATGTCAGTGCACTAAAATCGTGCGCACTTTATCATTGTATGATAAATTCGTTAAATTCAGGTGAGTGCTAAATAACGAGAAGAAATGGCTCAAACTTCAGTAGCCGGACATCCACTCATACCTGGGTGGTATTCCGTCAAAGTGGTTTAACAAATCCAGGCTTATCCTGAAATCCTGAGCTGAATCTAGCTTCATCTCCAGCTTAAGCCTCAAGTTGTTACATGATAGAAATAAGCCTGGGTCTAAACTGCACTTTGTGTGTGCTCATGGTGACTCTAGGAAGGCCAGAGCAATGGAGCAATGACATCATAGAAATGGGCCAAAAATGTTTTGTTTTTTGATCTGAATAAACGATCTGATCTGAGGAGTAAGAGGAAAGACTTGACTCCCACTCCTCTCCTGTTTGCTCCCCCTCCTCTCCTGGTCAGACCTTGGGTCAAGAGAAGGCTGGCTGCGGAGGGGGGAACCTGGTTCATACGCCCGGGGAATGAAGTTGCCTGACCCATTCCCAATGTGCAGTAGTACATGCAGAGCTTATGTTCTGTTGTGCGTAAAAGTGAAGCTGTAACGGAACTCTTCACCTGTACCCTAATAAGAAATGATAAAATCAGCACCAAGGTGTTTGGCAGTTTGACAGGGAGTGAGAGACGAGGGAATGAAGAGAGACAGACAGACGTGATGAAGGAGCAAACAGACAGGACCCACTGTCATCTTCAGAGTCCAAACCAGGGTCTGTCTATGTGTAAAAGCTACACTGCTCCTCACAGCAGCCACATGTGCAAGATCATTTTAATGAAATAATGGCCATAGGCTTTTATATGGTTTGTGCCTTTTTGATTAGTGCAACGTCCACACGTGTGTCCTGTGCGTAGGAGCGTATGGACTGTAAAAGTCTCAAGTGAGATGACTATAAAAGTCACTTTTTAAACTATATCAGAGAGAGACAGGTGTTCTAAAACAGGTGTGTGATGCACGTGCTGAAACTTCTGACTAAAGTGAGACAGAGATTCTTGGACACCGAGCTAAAATATTCTTGACAGTTAGCCTGATCCTGACCAGGTTTGTTTTCGGGTGCTTGTTACTGCAGCAACTCAGCTGGTTATTCACTTTGGTGGAATAGACCTGAGGCTTTAATAAGCCTGAAACCGCTTCATGGAATACCCATAGACTGTATAAAAAAGTGAACTAAGTAAGTGTGACATCACCCATAGCGTTCAGTGCCACTCAAATGAAGCTTGTGATGGTAATGGTTACAGGAGCGCATTTGGAGCCAGGCTCTATATTATGAAAAGGATTTTTTTGACGGACAAAATAGAAAAAAAAGCAGGATCAAGCAAGATCATGTAGAGCAGGTTATTACGAACATTTTAAGATGAAAATGACGAGTCTCACAGCAGGAGTCACAGAGAGAGGGATGAGAATATTCCAATGGAAGCCAAGATCAGAAGGAGCTGAAAGAGCGTGCATGCAAACTTCCTATTTGGAATGTGGCAGCTAGCACGTTAGCTATGTCCATTTATATATACAGTCTAATGGAATACCCCCCTAATTGATACAACTAGCCTAGCCCCCGGGAGAGCCTGAAATCTGCTGAAATCCTACAAGGCAGTGGCATGACACCAGATAGGACAGCGGCTCTTTATGCAGGAGACATGCACAGTCGAGCACGAAGTGATGTGGTCTGATAATCCCTCTATATTGTGTTGTGTGGACATTACTTTTGGATTAGCCAACCAATCAGTGGGAAGACGATATATATGGGAGTGGCACACAGAGAGAGAATGACTGATCAAAATTCATTAAATGTAGTTCGTGAGTAAGTGTGTCGGCTTTGCTTTTTTTGTTCACTGTAATAGGTAGCACCAGTGATGACAGTGAAAAAATTTGCAGATGCCAAGACATAAGCAATCGATCCTTAGTGAGACAATCTAACTTAATAATAACCAGGAAATGTCTGATTGGTCTGAATTAGCCTAATCAAAACAAATCTCTTTGATTCCTTAACTATAACTAGTTGATTCCTCTAACTATAAGCCCCACCCACAGACGAAACAGTGTGCGTTTATCCTCCACAGTCACACGTGATGGATTGCTTGGCATCTTGGATCTTTGCTGCAGTTTTTTTCACTTCAGATTTTACACTCTAAATTTTGACTGAAAAATATATATACTATATATGCATATTTTTTATTTTTATTGTTATTTAGAATTTTAAACACATTGAACCTCTATACTTCATCTATTGAAATTTAGAATGAAAATAATTTAAACATGTTTTTTCAGAATGAGAATGTAATGTAATGTAAAATTTAAAATTTGTAATCTGATGAAACAAATTATCTTTTATACTGTTGATTTTTTTCATATTTTAAATGTATTATCTTGAATGTATTAGAGCATAATTAAATTATGTATTAAAACCAATTTATATATATTAATATATTACACATATTTATATTATATTATAAATAATATAATATATTATATTTATGTATATTAATATATTTATTTATATATATTTATATTAAATACCCATTTATTTTTGAATGTTATTTATTACACATTTGCAAAGCTAGTTAAAATTATTTTAGTTCATGTTTTATTAAATGTTTTTCAGGAGATGAATACTACTGGAAACTTGTGGCGGATTTCATCGGTCCTCAGTCAGGGGAGGGATTAGATCTTGATCAGGGGCCCTGCAGAAACAGAGTCTTAATACAAGTAGGACTTTTGAGGGAGGACAACAACTTTCCATGGATGTCTATTGTTACATGGCTAAAGAAAATATTTCCTGCCCATAAAACTGCAGACTTTCGCCGACTAATTGAAAGAGGAATTGCTACTACCCTCAGTCTGCTTGGAGATTCCAGGCTAAGTTTTCTTGAGCTAGCTGTGAATTTTGATTTTGTAGGACCAATCTGTGATAGCATTGGCATTGAGCGCAACGACCTACTGGAGCTGAAGGATTTTTCAGAGAGAGCACAGTTGATAGAGGTCACAAACGGTTTAGTCCTTGAATTAGATGACTTTGCCCAAAGGGAAAATCTTGCTCCTATTGTCATAGTTCACTGGCTTAAAAAGTTTGATCCAGACTTTTGTAAGAATGGAGATTTTTCAAAAGTGCTTTCAGAGCTGAAAACAAGGATCAAAACGCTGAAAATGTACTGCAATAATTCTGAAACTAAGAGCCAGAGAAATAGAAGATATGTTGCAAATGAAACTTTACTTCTAAGTCCATTTGATCTCCTTTCCCTTGAGGACTCACAAGAAGAGCTAAACAGGAATCAACCAATGGTCAAAAGACATAAAAAAGAAGAGCAGCCTATTTTTAAGCCAGTTAAAGTCAAAGAGGAACCTGAAGATTATGAAGTCACAGAAGAGCAGACAGTAGTTAAAGAATCCAATGTCAAAACAAATGAGACAGATATGGAAAACAGCCAAGACCAAGACAAAGCTAAGTGTTTAACAGACACAGGTTACTATGATGAATCATTAACTTTGCTCGACATAGCAGCAGAATCTGTCCACAAGCTGTCAAGTGTCTATGGTGGGATAACAGAGCAATGTCAAAGAGTGTGTCTCGAACTCCTTAAAAACCAGTACACACTGATGCGTAATGAGAAACAAGAAGTGGATGAACTTGAGAAAAATTTGTCTGAATACCCCTACAGGATTTCACTCGGTACACCTGTAGAGTTTATACATCACAACGCTAACTTTCTCGTCGAATTACATCAGTTAGTGGAAGAGCAGATTCTAAGTTTGGAAATGCAGATCACCCAGAAAACAGGGTCAAAACTTGGTCGAGATAAATTGCCAAAGTTTCACAGTTTTGTAAATTTCAAGGAAAGCGCTACTTCCCGTTACATTCACATGGCGTGCGCATTACTAAGTCCAAAGTCGCAGCACAATACAACTTTTAGAAAACATTGGCTGGCATTTTGTAGCGAAAAGCGAAATCCTTCAGAATTGATGGAAGAATCAACTACCAGAATCAACAATTACTTTGAAGCATCAGCTGGTCTCATTCACCATTATAAAGAGATAGGGCTGTTTTTCTCTGACATGTTAGCCTTGGAAAATGATATCCCCAAATATTGTTCTTGAAAGTGTTGCAAATGATGCTAATGATTCAATAATTCAGAGCTTTGTTTGTGTTCTGGCCTTGATTTACTGTAAAATACTTGGCCCCTACATGCAGCTGTTAAAAAGTGCTGCAACATTTACCATGTATCCCTCCTACTTGCTTGGGCTGTATCAAACATTTCTGGATTGGTCCAAAGATCCGGCTACCCTACTTGAGCCTTACACCAAGACAAATGTGTTTGCCCTGATTCCTTTGTCAGAGAAAACCTACAGCGGTGTTTTCAGTTTCTGTGGTTACGGACCCACAAATAGAGAGCTGATCAGAGCCAGTTTGAAGAGAGTGGTGAAGGCAATCGCCACAGCTGCAGACAAGCACCTCAAGAATTATTTACCGGGAGGGAAATATTCACAAGTGCCATCACCGGAGTTGTGCCGCAAACTGTCAAGATGTACTTTCTCAGCATTGATGGCTGAAAATCCCTTTGGTCAAACATTTTTGGATAGAAAGAGCCAAGATGACAGTGAAGTGTCCTCTGCTGGCTCTGATGTTGAAGAGGACGACACAAAAGACCAATATGCACAAGAACGTATTGAGAATAGACACGCAAATAATAATAAAGTAATAGGGAAAGTTGAAGACAAAATGTATGCTTTAAAAGGGCGGCAACTAATGCGTTTTCCAGAAATCATGGACAAAGATTATATCATTGAAACAGTCAAGAGGAATGGAGGTCCGTGCAGGACACGGGATGACCTGGAGAAAATGATGCTGCGCTTTGAGAGGATGAGCCGAGCAGAGAGGATGGAGTGCATGCGCTGTGAAGTCCTCTACCAAAAGATGATCCTCAACAACACAAGCCCATATCTGAATGGCGCACAGGGAAACGCCACAGCAATCGCAGCCAGACTGAAGATGGCACTGCCACGTGTTAGACCTGGTTTTTCACTGGTCTTAGCCCCAAAACGGATATATCCAAAATACTCCCAACAGAAAGAAAGTGAGGTGCAGCAGGGAGTGACGAATTTTGAGCCACCAGCATTGTAACAATAGAGTTTAGTATTTGTTTTAGTAGTTCAATTGAAAAGGAAATAAAAATGACTCCATCAAATTTGACATCGAGTTTCAATAATACTAATAAATATTTCAACATATTTTTTGAGTTGCCATTCCAAATTTGCTGCAATGCAAATGCTACAAATTCCAATTTTCAAACAACATATTTATTATGTCTGAAATAATTATATGCAGTATTTGCTTTCAACCACATACTTTTTAGCTGAACTACCAAAATAAATAGCATCTTCAATATACATTTGAAAGATAAAGACTATTGTGATAGCAGAAGATTCTAGTAGTGAACCTTGCGTGCACTATGTTCAATGATAAGCAAGTACATATTACATAATGTACATAATTTTTTTTTTTTGCACCTGCATTGGATCATCATAATGGCTTTCACTGTTTCTGCACATTTATTAAAAATAATATTTGCTGCTATATTGCACAATCTTCTCTTGTTTAACTTGTTTTCATTACAAATACCTCATTGTATTCTGTTGTTTGTCACTATGTAGCTCTTAGAGATTTGGGGACATGTGACTGTCTGCATCTCTGCCTATAATGTTACAAAAACAAGCTTATGGAAATAAGGATTTAAAAACAAATTAAAAGGTTAAGCCAGTACACTAAATAGCCTCTTCATGTGGCCTATAGTTGAGTAATCAGTAGCCTACTTTTTCTGCCAATAGGTAAAATGTATAAAATCCAAGGGCAATCAAATATGGCATTGTGTTATATCATTCTTTTCATAAAATACTGATGATCATACGTAATTATTTTTAGTTTTAATAGGAATGTGACTGAGGCATGTTTTACAAAAATTGTAACAAAGTGCAATTCTCTTAATTTCTTGACTTGGGTAAACGGACTGAGATGTCACGTAATGCTTGAAGACAAAAGGGCATTCAATACAAAACATACATTGGGGCGTTGTATAAATGAAAATAAAGAGACAAATCACGAAAAGCAGGTTAGTTTAGAAAATGACAATGACTCTTAAATGCTCAGAGGGGGCGGGCACTTCCTTTGCGTAACTCCTCTCCAGGTTACGTCGGCGTGTATTTCACCGTGCGACTCTTCTCCGATTTAAACACGCGTCTGGAGTGTGTCTTCTCTCTCTTTTTTTCAGCCGGAGACAGAGGCACGATGTCGGAAGGCTGGTGGGAGAGTACGGTCGTGACCCACGTCCTCATGGCGCTGTTCGCGATGGGCTCCTGGATCTCCGTGAACAGTCTGTGGGTCGAGCTGCCGGTGGTGGTCAATGTGCTGCCCGAAGGTCAGTGTCTGGTCCCGAGCACGGGGTGTCCTGAGGTGCCCTTTGGTCAACTCTAGTCACAACATTAGTCTATCACGATATGTGTGTGTTTAATCTTTGAAATGTGTCCTTTGCCCTATTAGCTGATTGCTATTGTGCTGCTGCTAGCATCTCTGCAATTCAATAGGAAGTTGACAATGAATGCTGAGTAACCTCTGTACTACACATGAGCAACGATAGTACATAGTAATGGTTGCGTCCCCACAGTGGGAGCAGCTTTACCAGGACATTTCACAGAGGTATTGTAGCTAGCCTAAAATGATTACACATAATTTCATTACAGATCATAAATCAAAAACGTTAATTTAATCAAGACGTGCTGTGTCTTGTCGTACCTCAAACATTTAGATCTAGTTTATACTATTTCTGTTGTTATTTTCTGATCCCTTTAAAAGTACACAAGTGATATGACTGTATGAATGTGCATATATAGACTGTATACATAGCTAATCCACATAGTAGTATAATTATTTAGTTGGGGCTGTATAATAAAGCAGGTTAAATGAAGTCAATGAACTCTAATTGGAGTTCACTTATTTCTTATTTTCTTTATTTTTAATTTTTATAGTTTTAATTGACTGTAGACAAGTATAAAGACGGAGGATTAAGTAAATTGTGCTTTGTTTTAGAGTGGAACCTGCCCGCCTACCTCTCTGTCCTCATTGCGTTTGGAAATCTGGGTCCGATCGCGGTGACCATCACTCACTACTGTGCTCCGGGCCGGCTCAACGAACGTGTCGTCATCCACATCATCCAGGTGCTGGCTATTGTCACGGCAGCATTTTTGGCCATTTTCTGGTCTCACACCATCACTGTGGCTGGACAGGAGCGATCAATACCATTTTTCCTTTTCACTTTTGTTTTGTCTTTTGTTTGCTGTACGTCAAATGTCACCTTTCTACCATTCATGTTCAGATACCCCCCTCAGTATATACGCACCTTCTTCATCGGACAAGGCTTAAGTGCATTGTTCCCCTGTATTGTTGCTTTAGGACAGGGTGTTGGTAAACTGGAGTGCAAATCAGTCAATGGCACAACCAAAGCAGAGCACTTGAAAGAGAACTTCCCTGCTCAAAACTTCTTCTGGTTCTTGTTTGTAATGCTCACTGTGTCCGCTTTAAGTTTTGTGGCGCTAACCAGAAGACAGACGGCTCAGATGCACTCCCCTCCAGATGTGGACAAAACCAGTGCAATGAAGAGTGGAGAGGAGACACATCCCCTCAACAACGGGACGCCCCTGTCAGAGCAGCAGGAGCAGATAGAGGAGCAGCAGCCTCCTGCTCACTCATTTTGGACACTTCATAATGTTTACCTTCTGATTTTACTGGCCTTAGCCAACGCTTTGACCAATGGAGTCCTGCCATCTATCCAGAGCTTCACCTGTCTCCCCTATAGCCCCATGACCTTTCACCTCTCCGTCGTCCTTGGCAACATCGCAAACCCCCTTGCCTGCTTCCTTGCCATGTTTTTTGTTTTGAGGTAAGGTTTTGTTCTATTCATGGGGTTCAGTTTGTTATATGTGACATTTTAAGTACTTTTCATAATTCAAAAGATGTAATATTTAACTTTAAATTGTTAATTGCTATAGCAATAATAATTTTGAAACCCATGGATAGTTAGCTACAATCAGCTAATCGAACTGGTAAAAAACATGTGACATCATTACTGCTAACACAAAAATGCTGAACAATGAACTGATGGGAACTAATATTATACTATTCAAGATATTCAGGTTTAAGATGAAGTAATTTTAAAGTTATGTGTCAGATTTTTCATATAAAAATACCTACTCAAATTAGTATTTAGTTTAGATTTTTGACGATCCTAGAAAATTTGTTTTGAGTTTAAGAATGTATCAGGTATTAAACAGTATTGCTGGTGTGTTTGTCAGGTCAGTGAGTGGTCTGGGCTGCCTGACCATCACTGGAGGAGTCTTCGCTTCGTACCTCATGGCTTTAGCCGCTCTTAGCCCCTGCCCTCCGCTCCTTGGATACTCCTCTGGCATTGCTCTAGTGGTGAGTAACAATAACTACAAGTATTTATAATATAATATTTATAATACTATATACTAGATAAGTGAAAATAAAAGTATATTTGTGTTACCCTGTGCCGGAGGGTTTGGTCGAAACGTGCATACTTGACTAGATGGTGTTTGCGAGATTCCACGCTGGTTATCAATATTGAACGTCACCCTCTCTCTTCACCCCACTTTCTCTTTGCTCACTATCTTATAAGGCTGTATATAGTTTGTAACTTTAACATGTCATTTAGGTCTTGGCAAATATGATTTTGCAGTATATGTCACTGTCAATAAATTTAATATAAAAAGTTATCTTGGTACAACATGTTTTTTTTATTTCTAAATAAACAAATAAACAAACAAACACCTACCCAACCCTCACTCACAAAAGTTGGCAAACTGTTCTACAATACAGTTATAGCCCTTTTCAGATAGAACATTGTGGCCAAAAATATTTTTTCTCACAGGAACTTTACGGTTTCTTATGATTCTGGTGGTTAGTGATGCTGTGGTTCTGTATTTAATGCATTGTTTTAACAGTGGTCATGCCAGCTAAAGTATGCTTTACTAAGCCCTGTTTACCCAAGGTGAGACCTGTTTGGGCTTGGCTATTTTTAGCAATTTATCAGTGTCAAACATGTTTATTTCCATTGTTTAAATGAGTTTAATTAATGACTTAGGACCACACTTAATCTATGATGGAAATTACCTCACAGCTGCTAGGTAATAAAATCAAAACCATCTTAAATAGAACTTTAAAACCAAAAAAGTCTAGTCTAGTTATAAAATAAGTACATCTTTTAGAATATAACAGGCTGCCTCCTCTTACTTCCTTTTGTAAATGTCCTTGATACAGTCTTTCCTCCAAATGAGCTGATATCATCACTTATCTCAGTGAAGACACAGCAGCCTAATGTAAACCAGCCTGGTGACGTTATTGTGTATCATCTAGATTTAAAAAATTTTTTTTAAAAATGATTTTTAGTTTTAGCCAAAATTTAATTCCCAAATTCTTTTTTTGTTTTAGTCTAGTTTTAGTTGATGAAAATGTTGAAATATTTTTTACCATTTTTTTATTTGGGTGTAATATTAGTTGTAGTTTTGGTTTAGCTTTTTCTAAGATGTTATGTAATATTAGTCTGCAAATATATGACAAAAACTCTCTCTGCCTCCAGGTGCTCTCGTGGATTTTGTTCACGGGGGTCTTCTCGTACCTGAAGGTGGTCATTGGGACCTTGCTTCACGAGGCTGGACACTCTGCCCTGCTCTGGTGTGGCATCTTCATCCAGGCCGGCTCTCTCATCGGAGCTTTGGTCATGTTCCCTCTCGTCAATGTCTACCATGTGTTTTCTCGCGCTCAGGATTGTGTCAACAACTGCAGCTAGAATCAAAACAGCAAGTACTTGTGGGATTTTACTGCTCAAACACTAAACCTTTTGGTTGACCTTTGTATCACAGAGACCAGAATGAAGAAGTCTCAGATAGGTTAAAATGTTTCCCTGATAATCACGTCTTTGTGAGCGGAGAGGAGCCACAGGGAAGTGAATGTGCTTGAAACCACATGTGCTTTGTGTTGTTGTTGATGCAGAGGAGATGGTGTAAGTTCATAGCAATCATGTGCCAAACTCAGGGAGACAGGCTCCATATTATTCAATGTTTACAGCATCTCTGCAGTAACAAGGCACAGTTCAACAAGTACACTAATGAATGTACAAGCCACATGTTTTTGAATTGATCTGTTTTTTTTTGTTTTTGTTTTTTATCTGAAATAACTGAATATTTTTACTCAAGATGATTTCACAGTTGTTTTATACTTCGTAATAATTTTAATAATATCTTCTAATATCGTCTATTTGAGCTGTATCATTTTGAAGAAACTTTTATCCGAGCCCAGATATTTTCTATTATTCAATTACTCGATGTCTGTGGAAAATGTTTTGCTACCTCTTTATATAAATTGAAAACATACATGTTTTTAAATTATGATTAATGTTGTATTTACAATTTTATGTTGTATTTAAAGATGCACCATGGAGCTTTTCTGATGGAGACTTTTCAGCCACCTTATTGTTTCCATGGAGATGTGTTTGCTTCGCCTAGTATGGCCTAGTATGACTTATCTCAATGGATACAAGCAGGTGATGCCACAGACCAAGTTATAGGTCAGATCAAATCTTATAGGTCAGATCTATGTTTGATAATTAAATACTACAGGTGTTTTTATCTGTGTAAGATCAATAACTATCAGGTGGTGGGCCTTTTAACATGTATATTTTTTGTAAAGGTACTATATTACACAAAATGGATTCTCAAGTGCTTTAATTTGTGTTAGAATATTATTACCTCCTCAAAAACAGACCTGGAGTAATATTTTGTTTCATTCACACGTTTTAGTAACCATTTATTTTTAGTATGTTTACATCTCCAGAGCTCAAAATGCTCTGCTCCATCCTGTTATGTCATGAAGTGATAGTGCTATGTTAACAGCTGCCTTTTACCTTAAGTGCAATGATTGGCTAAAAATGTCCCAATGATTCTAGTGAAAGTTTATCTATTTTAAAATACTTTTGTATTACCACATGACATCACAAGGTGAGAGTGTTTTCCGTTTATGAGAAAAACTAACCCAAATATTCTAGATTTGTGTGTTAAACATGTGTGAATGAAACAAAACACAACTCCAGGTATGGTTTTGATGTCAAATCATTATAACATAGATCAGAAAATAGCCAAATATAGGCCTTTTAGGTGACATTCCCTTTAGTTTCATCTAGTACCTTTTCCTTTGCCAAGTGTTTTGGTCATTCCATCTTTACTTGAATGGAACCACAAATATCATTTGTCACTAAATGATCAAATGTGCTTTAAATGCTCAGACTCCTTTTAAACTAATCAATGTTTTTATATGTTAAACCGTAGCACACGAAGAGACACATTTCTACTTTGAGTTGCACTAATTTGCCTTGTCCCTTCTGTAATTAAACTTGAAACTGGTTGTGTTTGTATCTAATCTCATTTTTGTTCATTATGGTCAGCCTGTGGACTTTACAAAGGTTTTGTCACAGTTGGTCAAACTTGTACTTTTAATCATATACATGTATCTCATTATTATTTCCATAAGCCTATACATAGCTTGACTCTCTTCCACCAACTCCGAGTTTAAAACCCTAGCCTAGGCACATTTACTTATAGAGCACAATTTGTACACAAAGTAATTCAAAATGATGGTGAGAATTCAAGAACAAGAGAGGTAAATGGCAATGCAATGACTTCAAACAATAAAATCTGTATCAGAAGACCATTCAATTCTATCAGCTGGACTCTGACCTCTACTCAATGGACAGAGGCTGTCTCACATCTTCAGGATATTAGCTGCATAAAACTGAAAATGGACAGTTGTTAAAGTTAATGTTTTTCTATTTTTAAAATTCACAGATAACCCATAGGTTCTTAAATATTACACAACTAGTCATTCACTTTTTTTTTTCCCAGCTACTTTCTTCATTTTATATACACACAGAAGACATTATTAAGTAATATATATGGAATTAATAAAGAAAATAATAATTATGAAAAAGAAAGAAACATTTAAGAAATTTTACTTTTTCCTTTACTATATAATTCAATAATTAAATTAATTATGTAGTAAATTATTTGACCAAATCAGCTTGTCAAAGCCTAATCTCGTCAGATCTTAAAGTCAGGACCAGGCCTGGGTAGTATTGGATGGGAGACCACTGGGAATATCAGGTGCAGTAGTGTGGCAAAATTTGTCATTGTGTCCTTAATCATATTCACCCACATTGCATATGTATCTAAATTGTAGAAAGTAGTTAAAAAAAAACACTGAAAGGGGGAGTGTGTCAACCTTTTCACTGGTAGTGTACATTTTTAAACAACAAAGTTTACCATGAGCAGTTTGTTTAGTAGATTATAGCATTGTCTGTAAAAAGTGCACTGATAACCTTTAAAATGAATGCATCATGCGATCAAAGCCTTACTGAATAAATAAACACTTGTTAATCTTAGTTACTGTAATACCATTATCCTCCCAGTCCCCCTTTTCACATATAAAACAATCATGTGCAATCAAAGAAACGTGTGCTTATGTAACTCCACTGATCCAGTATGAACGCTGCTAGCAGAATTAACTAACTTGTCTGATTTCTTGAAAGGGCTCTGTCTTTTTAAAGCACCCCAAAGGCAAACGGAGATGTGACCACCACCAAACAGCTCCATGTGATCTCCTGCCCCCTGTACACTTTGTGGAAGGGTTTTTGAAGACAATCATCTGCTAAGTGCCCCGGTGTGAGTGTAACGGTTGGCTGTTTCAGAAGGAGGGTCTAATCCTGCACCTCTGTGCTTTAAGCACCAGGACTTTGGATCAGAAACCCCAGAGCTCTACTGCAGCAGCATGTGAGTATTTACAGCGCCACACAACAAACATGCACACAAAAAATGGCTATTTAAATCACATTTTTACACATAACAAACAAATACAGAAATAATATGATTTTTTTTTTACCTTTTAAATGCTGTATTATTCCAAATTAATCAATTTTTAATTTGTAGTAATATAATAATTTATATATTTTGTCATATTATTTTGTGTGATTTTTTATGTAAAAATATTATGTCAAAAATCTGATCTTATTGCTGCCTTTTTATTTTTATTCGATATACTCAATTTTCAAATTTATTCTGCTTCTACTTATTGTAACTTAACTTTTTGATAGAAACGGTAAAATTAACAATAGCATATAGTGTTTTATCATCACAGTGTTGAGACAAATGGTTTCACTTTGTACTCCTGTCACAGTATTGTCCAGGTCTATTCTTCATTGTAATTATCTGTGCGTGTCTAACCTTTGAATGGACAAAGCAGTGGTCAGATGTTTCAGTGCTTACATAAGGCGTTCCTGAGCTGCATGAGGTTTTGTTGTTTCAAACCACTTTTAACCCAAACTCCCCCTGAGATCAAAATTCAAGAGGAAAAAGTCTGCTCAGTCCATGTGTTGGTGTTTTGGAATATTTTAGAAAATTTAATTGATAGTTCACAGTCAGTTTTTTTTTAAGTTTAAACATTAACAAAACTAGAAAAGAAAATTCCATTTTCCAGCTTGTTTGATCAATCATTACCCTCAAGAGAGTGTAGTCATTTATTGTCAAAATCATGTAAAAAGTACAGGTAACCGAAAGTACAAATCTTAATAATATTTAAGTATTTTATGCACGTATCCTTGCCCTTACAACTGCTTTGTGTGTGCTAAAAAAGATGCTGGACACCTGCCTTCAATTAAAATCACAGCCACTTATTTGTAGCACAATAACTCTCTCAGATATGTATGTTTTTTAAGGGTCCTATTTTATACAAAACTGACTCTTATGAGACTTTAGCCATTACAGGATGCTCTTACCTCATCAAAAACATATCTGCAGATGTGTTTTGTTTCATTTACACATGTTTGAGTAACCCCGTCTACCGACATGAAGTGATGTGTGATGTCATATAGTCGTACTTTTACCTTTATTTCAGCAGAGATTTGAAATTCCACGACTGAAATTATCCAAATGATTCTAGTGAAAGTGTATGGATCTTAAAAACACAGTGGAGCACATCCTGTATTGCCAAATATAGTGTAATATGGGGCCCTTTAAGTCATATCAGATTTAACAAGGGACCATGGATTTCACTGATAAACCCGTCAATCACCTCAGTCTGTAGGAGTAAAAAAAAGACAGCTGGTTTCGCTAACATCGCTATACCCTGATTAACATAATATCTGTTTATACAATGTTAAACCATCATAATTTTCTTCTCTCTTTCTGTTTTAGATATCCCTTACCTGCACAATGTCTCTCCTCACCCACATTTTGGCCGTCCTGTTCGGGATGGGTTCCTGGGTCTCCATCAACGGTCTCTGGGTGGAGCTGCCTCTGATCGTCCCTCATATCCCTGAAGGCTGGTTCCTGCCCTCCTACCTCTCTGTCCTCATCCAAATGGCCAACGTGGGACCCATTTTCGTCACTCTAATGCATCGGTTTCACCCCGGAAAACTCAACGAAACTGCGGTCATATACATTATCATAGGTTTGGGCACAGTAGCTAGCTTTTTACTTGGATTTTTTTGGAAAGAAACTCTAGTTGTGTCCGGCTTTCATCGTAGCGGTGCATTATTGGTCCTTACTTTTTTTTTAGCCACTGTAGACTGCACCTCCTCTGTCACGTTTTTACCATTCATGATGCAATTAAAGCCAGAATATTTGACCACTTATTACATTGGAGAAGGCGTGAGTGGGCTGCTTCCTGCATTAGTCGCTTTAGTTCAAGGAGTAGGTGTTGTTCATTGCATAAACAGTACCCACATTTCAAACCAAACATCCAATACTTCTTCATTTGAACTCCAAGCGCAATACCAGCCTGCAAACTTCTCCGTAGAGGTTTTTTTCTTCTTTTTAAGCGCGATGATGCTAGTTTGTCTGGTAGCGTTCATCCTGCTGAACTACCACCCCGCAGTAGCAAGAGAACCCACCAATGGACGCTATACGAATGGGGTAAAAGCCAAAAATAACAAGTGGCCCGAGCAGAATTTGATGTTAGATTCTTATAAAACCCCCAAAAGAAGAAGCCGCTTTGGGACTGGGGCGTACAGTGTGGTGGAGGTGGTGTATATATTTGTGATTCTGGCCTGGGTTAATGGTTTGTCCAATGTAGTATTACCTTCAGTGCAGTCCTACTCCTGTATGCCCTATGGGAACAATGTCTACCACCTGAGTGCTACGATGGCGGCTGTGTCTAACCCCCTGGCCTGCTTCATCGCTATGTTTCTGCCCAAAAGGTACGACCATAACCGAGGCTCCACTGTACAAAAACGTTGCAGTTTAGTTTAGTTATTAAGGGCCTGTATTCTAGTTTAGTCCGTTTAGTTGTGAATTTGTGAAAAATATGTCTGAATGGTGTTGAGAGTCTATTTTTAAATTGTGTTGAATGAGAACCATGAGGACCGATACTTTTACTTTTATTGGAGATGTTAGTAGATGAGAACCATGTGGAAATGACTGCCTGTGACTCATGGTTTAAAATTAGGCACTGTACCTTTAAGAAACTTAGAATAGTAAAAGTGGTTTAAAGTGCATCAATTTCGGTAATTTTGCACACAACTGAACTGAATATGTGTACAAAGTAAAATCAAAATCACTTTTCAGGTTTCACATTTAGATTCAATAATGCTAAACTCTTAAATATAAACTGTTATCACATTTTTAAATATTTTTGCTAGGCTGACTCGAGACAAATTAGATTCTTGGCCACCCAATCTCTTAACCTTAACAAATACAAAAAAACAACAACAAAAAACAAAAAACGTTTATTCAGTCCACTTGCCCAAATTCAGAACCACCACTGGTCTGTATTGCAATCTGTAAAACGTTCAAAGTGTCCACTAGATGGGGACAAAGATTTCCCATTTTATCTATTTGTCTATTAGTCTATATTTTACATCGAACACCCTGTTTGAATGAATCATATTGTGTAGGTAATTGATAAAAAAATAGTTTAATAGAATGTTCATCACAGATCCCTGGTGTTGATGGGGAGTCTTACAATCGTTGGCAGTGGGGTGGGGGCCTACATCATGTGGATGGCTGCCCTCAGTCCCTGTCCGCTCTTGGTGCATGGCCCATGGGGAGGAGTCATTATGGTGAGTGTGTGAAGAAATCATATGTAACAAACAGGGTTAACTCTACAGCTGGAATTTATATAGGAAATATGGGTGTAATGCATTAACAGAGTTTCTCAAGCTGTGATACGGGTTTCCAAGTCGCAAATAGAAGACAGAAAATTTTAAACTTTAATTCCAGCATTTTCTGGATTTTTATAACACAGCCTCAGCATCACCTACAGAATGAAGTGGGTCAGCATCAGCATTTCTGCATGAAACAAAACACAATTTCAGGTGCTATATTTTAATGAGGTTACACATTAGGGATGTAACAATAACCGGAATATTGTGATATCGTATCATCAGAGTTCTCACAATAATATCGTGGACCATCACAATATATTCAATTACAAGTCTCTTTGCTTAAATTAACAGTTATGGTGCACCAATAGCAAAAGACAGGGGGAACTACATAGACCATGATCCTTTGCTCCATTTCAGTGTAGACTACATGAAAAAATAACAGTTCTTTTTTTTTCACTTTTAAGTCTTAGCTCTTAGGATTAAGTCTTGTCAAGGCATTTTAAGAGGAAAAAGTAGCATATCAACAGTTTTGTTAGCCTCCACACAATATCTCCATAAACCGTGAGATGTATATCGTGAAAATATTGTACCGAAGGATTTGGATATCATTACATCCCTAATTGTGAGCCTCCCCACCATATCGTGAGCTTTCCCACGATATCGCTATAAATATCGTACCGTGAGGTTCATACAGTGACAATATCGTATTGTGACACTTGGATATCATTACACCCCTATTACACATTATTATGTATTATGTATTAGACAAATGTCATATAGGCCCTATAATTGAATGAATATAAGATTAGTTCATTATAAAACATTAAGATTGCTTTAACAATATGATGGCTCCTTCCAGTGGATAAGCTATACTTTATTGATCTCTTATGAGGGAAACTTGTCTTCTGCATTTGACCCATCCTTCAATGTCACTGGGACAAACTGTCAGGAGCAGTGGGCACGACAGTACAGCGCCCGGGGACCCATCTCCAGATCTTGAGCTAGTCTTAGTCAGGACTACAGGACTGTGCATGTTTTGGGTTGATGGAGGAAAACAGAGTGCTTGGGGGAAACCCACCCAGACACAGGGAGAAACCTCCACACAGAAATGCCCATGTGTAGCCTTATATTCTTATGCTTATTCTTGTAGGTGCTGGCATGGGTGGTGTTTGTGCTCACTCTGTCCTACGTGAAGGTGATGGTGGGAGTGATCCTGCGTGATGAAGGACACAGCGCTCTTGTGTGGTGTGGCGCAGTGGTGCAGTTGGGTTCTCTGCTTGGGGCGGTCACCATGTTTCCTCTGGTCAGCATCTTCAGCTTCTTCTCATCAGGAGACCCCTGCAACACCAAGTGCCCCTGAACCAACACCAGTCAGACTTTTACCAAACAACAATCAAGCCTTGTTTCTACAGAGTGGGACAAAACAGGAGACGAGACTCTACATTCAGTTTGTTGCCAGGTTATGGAAGATTTACACTTTTTATTTTCTGCATAATTTTGTATAGGACCAGACTATCCTTATGTGCATGAAATTAAACCAGTGATCTAAAAGCTCTATTGCCAGTTAAGCAAACTCAAGGATGTTAAAATGATGGATTACCATGTTAAGTTGTCTTTTGCGCAGATATTACTTGTGCTAATTTTATTTTCCAGTTTTGTTCTTGGTGGTGTATTTTTTAATTAAGTTACTTTCTATTTCTTCTTTATATTGCTCCAGTTGTTTAGATGGTCTTTTGTATTCTATACCAGACAAAACATGGGTCAAAGTCCTGCTCAAGGTAAGATTATCAGAAGCCTGTGCAGTATGCCACTGTAAATAACCTAATCCTCACTATAAACCCACATAGAGACCGACTCAGTGAAGGTCGGATTGTTCTGGATTTGACCAGTGAATTAAGCGTAATGTCATGAGTTATTAGATTTATTTTTTATTTAAATACATTATGTCATATACAATATGACTAAAGAGGAGTACGGCAAGTGTTATTACTAATAAATAAATACAATGATATAATATTCACAAAAAGGATCAAAATAAAACACAAAAAACATGTATGAAACAGTTACATGAAATTTTATGTTGAGCATCACTTTAAAACTTACGGTTCTTAACAGCAGTGGTGTAACTGAGCAAGACACTTCCTCCATAGATACCTTCAGTTACGCTCAACTCGCAGAATGTGTGGGACTTGGTGATTCCCTTTCACTGACACTGCCCTATAGTGTGTTCCAGGCAGTTGGAGGCTTTTATAATTCACCTTTTGGAATAATATCAAATTGAGTGCATTTTAGCTGTATTTTATGAAGATTAGACATTTTAAACATGTCTAATCAGGGCCATTTCTAGCATTGGGGTTCAGTGCAAAACATAGTTTGTACTGGATATACTGGCACTATATTCTAATCTATTTGAACTAATCTATTTAAAAAAATAAAATAAATAATAAACAGGCGTACACTTTATACATAAATAAGAGGAAAATATTTAAGCAAACATGTACACAATGACTGTTGCTAGGATCGGGTTCAAATTCAGATTTGGGCCTCAGTGAATGTAAAATCCTCTGCATGTACATAGTTTGCACATAATTAAAACTGTGCGATAACACACACGCAATAATAACTACACTTTAATTAGCCATAATAAAGCATGAACAAATACTTAATTCATAGTGAACAAATAGTATATTAAGAATTATTCAGGTTTAGTAACAACTCTATTAAGTAATTAGGGTTAGATGTTAGGGTATTAATTAGTTAGGAAGACAAATCATTTATTAAACTAATTATGAATTAGGTCTTCTTCGTTCATGCTTTATTAAGACTATTACCACTGTAACTATTAAAGTGTTACCAACTGCTCTAGTATTAACACGCATATTAAGTACTAAACAAGAATCATGCATTTCAGCAGATTTGAAAAGGTCTAACTCAGAACTGTCCAAAATATGGCCCAGAGACCGAACCTGGCCCTGAGTTCAGTTTTTGTTGGCCTTCAAGCTTCCTGCTGAATTGGCATGAATTACATAAGTAGAACTTTTTAATGCTAATTTTGAAATATATTGCTATCAGAACTTAAACCCAAACACTTTGATGTGATACAGACTTAACATAACTTTTCCAGACTTTATTAAAGGTATGGGGTTCAGTCAAATCTACTTCAAATGCAACATTCCAAACACTTAATTGTCTTGTAGTTTTTGGCCTTTTCCTCATTATGTCAAATATGTGGCGCTGAGTGAAAATAGTTTGGACCCTCCTGATCTACTACAAGGCGAGCAGATTTTACACATAATAAGAACTCTGACTTGTCTAACTTGGTTTCTTACAGCATCTCCAGCGGCTAAACTCTCCTTTGGCGTACAGATAAAACAGCGGCTGCACAAGACTCGCAATTGACAAGAAAAATATACACAATGGGACTAGCTTACAATTGTACCATGTCTCGTTTACAAACTTGAAGTTATCAATGACCATAACAGGGATGTAGCAGGTCATAGCTGTGACAGAGGTGACGCAGATCGTGATAAATGCTCGCTTTTTAGCCGGGTGGACTGATGCTTTACCAACAGGTGAATTTCTGAGAGCTCTGGCTACTTGGAAACTTGTATACAACATTATGACACTCAAAACTGCCATCAAAGAGATGGGCAGGTTGTCTGTTATGACCTCCAGTTTCTCAAAGGTTTCAGTGAATACATACATAACAGCGAGGGGGACTGAGACTAACCAGACTAAAGCAGCACAAATCTCTCTACACTTGTACTTTTTGAGCAAAGGGAAGTAAGTAGGATGGATTACAGCAATGAACCTCTCCAAGCAGGTAGAACACAACTGCATGGGTCCACCAACTTGAACATAGACAAAAATTATCTTGTGGAGTTGGCTTAGCAACAGAGGAAAGAAGAAAATAATGAAGATGTGGAAGTATGTGAGACAGTAGAACAGGTTGTAGAACAGAGCCAGGTTTAAGTTTAGGATGTCCGGTTGTTTGGAGGTGATGGTGATCCAGAGGAGGCGAGCTGACATGGGCTGTCCCAGAAGAAGAGACATGAGGTCCAGGGAAGTCAGGACAGCCTGGTACCCGGGTTTTTTCTCACACTGCTCTTCGGAGGACATGTTTGTGAATTTTGACATGTTTGTGAAGTGTCCTCCCTCATCTCGAAAACATAAAAAAGACAAACTTACAAGACCTTTTTATATAAACGTCAACTAAAACAAATGTATTTTTTATTATGGGTAATTTTAAACCCACACTTTTGCCATTGCATTCGTGTCTTGAAATCTGACAACAAACCCTTCCTTATTCCAATCATCAACATTCCCTGTGTGAAGCTAACTGAAAGCAATACTCTGTTAGAAGCACTGTTACTCAAGTTAGGCTGAATTTGAGCTTTATTTTAACAGAGTCTTAGCAGAAAGAGCTGACTTGGTTGGGAAAAAATACATAAAAAAATCTCCACTTGTACTTTCATAGCCTAATAGTTTTTGAAAGTTGTAATGCAATGCTCATTTAGAGTTAGAAGTGGTTTTGAAATATGCTAAATGTAAATTAAACTTGACTTGTTTCTTTTAATAGAACCCAAATAGAAAGAATATGAACTCTGTGGCCTATATATTCAGCACAATAATTAGATTATTTTTAGCTACATTTTATTCCTCAGCAACATATATATTATTAGGCATATATGTTTATTTCTAAATAAAACTAAACAAAACAAGATATTTTTAAAGATATTTACCATGAGGTGCATTCAGCCGTTTCTCTGGTGAAAATGACTTTGACAGAGGAGAGAACCCTGATTTTCCTAAAAGATGGGACACATATTTTTCATAAAAGTCAACAACCTAAACATCTATAGGCAGCAACATTTTCATAAACCACAAATGTTTGCTTAGATGAATGTAAAGGATAAGAACAAATTTACATGCAAATAATGTTATATATAATCATTAAGTGATTATATATAAATAATAGTATAATAATAATATATAATGTTAACCTGCCACAATAGTTCTAGCCTGATGAGGGCAGTGTGCATCTAAACATGGCTAAAATGTACCGTCCTAGGCAATCCTGCTAAAAATAATATTTATTGGGTGGAAGGGAAAAAAAAGAGGTAACATAGTTTCACTTGACCCAGTTGATATTTTACTTAAACATGGCATTTAGGCCTACTGGATTTAGAATTTACTCATGGATTACATGGAAAACACTGCAAACATGATTATAATTATATAATAATAATAATAATAATAATAATAATAATAATAATAATAATAATAATAATAATACATACATACATACATACATACATAACACTTGTATAGCGCTTTTCATGACACTCAAAGACACTTCACATAGATCAAGACATACACAAACAAATGAAAGAAATAGCTAAACAGAAGATGCAGTTATTTAAAGGCAATTTGGTGAGGTTTGGTCACGTGAGCTTTTAGGGCTTAGTAGTAGCAGAAGCAGAAGTAGTAGTAGTAGTAGTAGTAGTAGTAGTCATGGTAGCAGTAGTATTAGTAGCAATTATATTTGCAATATTAGTAGCAGTAGCAATAATAGTAGTAATAAAAGTAGTAGTAATATAATACTAGTAGTAGTAGTAATTGTAGAAATAGTAAAGATAGTAGTCAACACCCCTTGCAGGTGTTGGTGGTTCGATACAAACAGGAGTCAAGTTGTAGGAGCAGGTGACTCCTGCAGAACTACTACTACTACTACTACTACTACGAGTAGTAGTAGTAGTAATTGTAGAAATAGTAATAGTAGCTGTAGCAGTAATAGTAATACAAACAGAAGTGTGGCTGTAGGAGTGCAGTACACCAGCCAGACACATGACTATAAGACAGACTTGTCCTGGTGTTAATGACCCCTCGCTGAGAGAAGTGAAGAGTGGCTCACATTTCGTAAAGCACTCTAGGCAAATCTCCATGCCCATTCCATAGAGCCCCACTGAGCTTCTTTTTAACAGGTGAGGCCATTTTAAGATCTCTTGACCATCTCCTGCAGTACCAGGACTGCTCCTCCACCTGAGCCAACTGCTGAGAAACTCACATCTGTCACATTGCACCTGACACAGGTAAGCAAGGTGGAAGTCTCTGGCAAACAACAGCATCCATTCATTCATCCCAAAAATAAAAAAAGTAGTAGTAATTGTAGTAGTAACAGTGGTAGTGGTAAGATAATTATTATTAGTAGTAGGGACTACAGATGAAAAATAGCCTCTCTGGCTATTTCTGGTACATTTACAGAAATATTAATTAATGTGCACTGTCCCTGCTAAATAAACGAAAAATAAATAAAGAAGTAGTTGTAGCAGTAATAGTGGTAGTGGTAAGATTATTGTTATTATTGTTGTTATTATTAGTAGGCCTAATTAATTTGATGCATATCTCTCTATGTGACAAAGACACAAGGAACAATAACAGATGATGCTCATTTATTACAAATAAACAAAATGAGGATGAAGCAGGATAATAACTTGTGCAGTAAATGTCTATGGCTTCTCCCATTGGTTAAGACTCTTAAATACAAAATACATACAAAACAGGAAATATAATGTCTCCACAGTGTCAGGTAGTATGAGATAAACAGGGTTAAACAGCACTCAAAAATGTCATGTTGACTTGAATTATGCCTTTTTCCATCTAAATATGTTATGTTCATTAAGATGACATTTTAAGTTGATGAACATTAACATTACTTTTGATCAACATAAAATGGAAAAAGATGACGATAATACATTACATTTTGAAATAAAAAAAATTCTTTACTGAAAGCTCATGCTAAGAATAAATACAAACAATACAAAATGGTAGGCTATACATTGCTATATTTATATTGCTTTTGGCGGCATTTCTTTGGGTAATTTTGTGCAGTTTGCATTAGCTAACAATGCTAATTTTGCATGTAGCTTCCAGGTTGTATTGTCCAGCATCATTAAAACTGAGATGAACTGCTCCTGCTATAAGTGCAACTGGTTTAGAAAGATAAAGCTATTTTACATTTGAGCTCATTTGGTTGAAAGAAACATCAGAAATATTGCAAGTTGAGATTCCCTTATATTTGTACCACAGCCATTTCAATTATTTTATCAAAAGTATAAAAAATTAGGTACATAACATCCAAATGATTGTCGTGGTTTAAAGGGGGCTATGTGAGCCTTCTGGCCCCAGGTCCCCCTATATTCTGTCCACAGCCCTGTTTTCAGTTTTATTCGACTCTTCATAAGAAACATATTTATGGCTTTCAGTATCATGATTTTCATCTAATACAACGACTAATACAACAACAAATACAACACCATTCTAAATCATTCATTGCAATGGCAACAATCCTAAATTTTCAAAACTTGAAACCGATGAATATTCAGTTTTTGAATGTTTTAGCTATGATTGTCATGAGGACATCCAGGTTAGGTAGGCTACAACCAGGAATTTAACGACACACTCATTGAGAAAAAAGTTAAATGCAAAACATTTTAGTGCTTTTCTTACTTAAAAATTGAAAAAAAAAAGTGTTTATATGATTACAAACAAATAAACACATGAACTTATAATTCCAGTTAAAGGCACGACTTAAACGATTTCAAATGCTAGATATGGAGCATTGCTGTTTACATTATATACAAATACATGTGTCATATAATAGGCACTGAATCATTTACAAACTACAATCAGAAAGACACATAGGGAATGCTTCGTTTTGGTCTAAAAGCTTAACTACGGTGGTGGCTACTTCATTTTTACAGGTTAATATCAGTCGTTATTCTTCCTGATAACATTGAAGGCAATCCAAAAACAAGGCACGTTTAGTTGGACCCTGGTCGTCGTTAATGTTCAAATTTTATCAAAGTTTGTGCAGTACTTTTGTCATCCGATCACAAAAGGCAGGAAGAGTAGTGTCTTTGGTGTGACCTTTGACCTCTCACGCAGGAAGCTACGCATGGCTGTGGACGGAGATGCTTGACAAATCGTTCCTGATGATTTCATTGACTGAAACAGAAAATAGAGAGGAATTAAGTATTATTATTTGGAGTAAGGAAAAAAATCAAATAGAAAAGACCAGCCTTAGTAGACCCACTTCATACATTATAATAGAACCTGTAATTTTCTTTAAAATGACAGAATAAAACAGAAGATATGCAGGGGTTTTATTTTGTATTTTTTCTATGCATGGTACTGGCAGATTAAAAAACAACAACATCAACAACAACAAAAAACACACACAACCATACAATAATAAATAAAATAAAATCTTTAAAAAAAAAAAGGTCTGGACTTTAAAAACACTTTTTGGAGTACCACCTAATGATGTCACCAATTGGAACAGAAGCTTTTCAGGTCACAGACTGAATATGAATTAATAGGAATAGCTTAATGGTAAGTTAAGTAAGTTAAGTTTCTTTGTCAATATACTAGTATAATTAAATCAGAATCAGAATCCCACACTAAAGAACACAATATATTTTTTGTCTTTATATTTTGTCAGTACACTATACTATATTTTTTAAGACTATTGTACCATAGTTATTATTACTGTCAATCCTAAACTGAGTGTGGATCCTAACCCAATCCTCCAGTCTAAATCTATTTGCAGATCTAATTGCGTTAGGATGTGTTGTTTCCTACATTAGGTCGTGTGTGTCCCAATGTGACCGACAGTGTCTGGAGACATGATGCAAAGTCTGCCCCAGGTGTTGTTTTGTTCTGAGTCTTAAACAGCAGCTGAGGTCACACAGACAGGAGCAGAGACAGGTGCAGGAGCAGAGACAGAGAGACAGAAGACCAGGAGTTGAGACAGGAGCAAAGGAATGAGAAGACTGGAGCCAGGGCAGGGGTAAAGACAGGGACAGAAGCAGAGGCAGAAACAAGAAAAGAGGCAGAAGTTGCAAGAGTAGATGCAGGAGACAGGGGCAGAGACAGGAGCAGAAACAGGAAAGGAGCAGAGACGGGAGCAGAGGCATGAGCAGAAGTGAAAAATAGAGGTGCGAGGGCCCTGGAGAAACACTAATCATTTTGTGGCTCATTTAAACACTTGGAAATACAGTGTTTCTCATGGGTTTATACAGGACCCAACGCTCATTCATTATGAGAAAATGGCTCTTTAGTCCAGCAGCTTGTGTGGTATCTGAAAGGCAAAGATGGGAACTAAATATTCAAGTCCATTTTTCACAATTGCACAGGATAAATATTTGAATTTATTATGATTATTATAAACAAATAGAGGAAATCAAGATGGAATACGAGAACAATACAGGTTTTAATTTAATACTAGGGGTGTAATGATATGAAGTCTCACAATACGATATCGTCACAGTATGAACCTCACAGTATGATATTTATTGCGGTATCGTGGGAAAACCCACGATATGGTGGGGAGGCTCTTGGTATGATATTTTCACAATATAAATCTCACAGTAGGACATTTATTGTAATATTTTGTGGAGGCAAACAAAACTGTTAATATGCTACGTTTTACTCTTAAAATGCCTTGACAAGACCTAATTCAATGAACTAGAACTTAAAAGTGCTTAGAACTGTTATTTCTTCATGTAGTCGACACTGAAATGGAGCAAAGGATCATGGTCTATGTAGTTCCCTCTGTCTTTTTTTAGCTATTGCTGCACCATAACTCTTAATTTATGCAAAGAGACTTGTAATTGGATATATATTGTGATGGTCCACGATATTATTGTGAGAACTTTGACGATACAATATCACGATATTTCGTTATTGTTACATAGGGTGACCAAACGTCCTTTTTTCCCCAGACATGTCCATTTTTTGCGTCCTGTCCTGGGCATCAGGTTTTTTTTTTTTTTATAAAGTGATGGAATTTTCCGGGTTTTCATTACCGTTCATTGGGGACATTAAATTGAGCGGCTCTCATAGCTCTCTGTACACTCAGAAGGAGCGAGCAGACAGAAACAGTTGGTCAGTCTGCAACATGCCGAAGTGCAAATACACATTTAATGATGACTTGCACAAGAAATTCCCCGCTCTCCGTCCCAGTCGGGAAAGCGGGAGGCCATGTGCACAGGTTGTGAGATGAGAGGGTTTTCACAAATGGAAAAATGGTCACCCTATTGTTACATCCCTATTTAATACTGTATAATTTTCATTCAGACGTTTCAGTTTTCATAGTTAAAGCCATATTTTCCCAAAAAATTCACGCCTAGAACCTGTCCAAGTACTATTACCTTCACTGAGAAACAGGGTTATATTGTATGTCATACTAGTAGCTTACAGTAAACAGAAGTAGTGGCAACAAATGCAGTAATCAGCAGCGGTAGTACTCATAGCTGAACCGACTGCAGTCAGATGGTTCAGTTCCCAAAACTAAACTGATGCTATTACACTTCTCCTCAGACCCACAATAAAATTACTGACTCATTGAAATCTTATCTCTCCTTCAACACTCGTATGACTGTTTTAAAGTGTATATTTCCTCTCCCATTTGTTAACAGGGGCCAGTGCAGCTGTGTGGATATATGAGGCAGTGTGAACGGGAACACCCCAGCTCTGGTGTCCCTGGACAGAAGCAGGTCTTCCCTCTGTCCCATTCAAACAGCACCCCCCCCCCCCCCCCCCCCCCCCCCCGTAACCCAAGCACCCACGCACTCATCACAACAACATTACTGCAGAATTTAGGTCCCAAAACGGGGCAGTCCTTTTGCCGAAAATATAACTCACTTCCAGCAAAAGCAGAGGTCAGAGAGGGGACGGGGCCGCAAAGAGGGGGGTTACTGTACACACTCTGAAGGATAAAATTATGAGCATATTTTTGGACTTGGAATGGCTGTGTTTGCCTCTGTTTTTGGCTCTGCTATTTTGAAATTACATGGGCAGCTTGGACCCAAACTATTGGCTGAATGGTTATGGAAAATATCTAATAGTAATTTATCAAAGTAATCAATTGTAGCTGAGACTTGGAAAATCTAAACTATAATACTAGGATCACATGCATTTCAGGAAATATTTCGAAACAAGTAAACTACCTAAATTACTTAAAGAGGGGGTATTAGACTCCTATGGCGTATTAACTGCTAACTCAGACCATATTTAGATTACCATGTTACTTTTTATTGTTCTGAAAATGCTACATTCACCAAAAACAACGTAATGTTTAACAAGTCACTCCTCTCTCTGCTCACCACTCTAAGTCACTCCCCCTTCAGAGCACTATCACACCACAATCTGCGTGCATGAAACTACTGCACATTGTATCAGGTTTGTGAAGCTGTAGTGGATTGTTTTCTATCTTGCATTTTATGGAGAAATGTCGTGTGGGAGCATGGATAATGTTGGCTTGTGGGCGGAGCATTGCACAGAATTGTACATCTAACAGCTAAACAGGGTTTGGAGAGATCACTAAAGTAATGAAACATGCGTGAAAGACATCTAAAACCTCTTCAGGCATGTTTTTGATGAGGGAGCAGCATTATAAGATGGAAGAAAGCTCCAAAAATGTATTCTGGTAAATATCACCTTTTTAAATAATTGCAGCCTTTGTGATTTGCCTAGATCCTGGTTTTTGGTCAGTGGTAGCTCACCAAGATGGGACAGCAGTGATTAGAGGGTTTACCCACTATTACACAGTGGCTGATTGATGCCATGTTGCGTCCTTGGGCAAGACACTTTTACACTTTGCCTTCTCTACATATAAATAAATTGAGACTGTGCATCGTCAAAGGAGCTGATGGCGCAGATTAGCAGCCTTCCTTGTGTAGTCTGTAGGTTTTCTCCATGGGAAGGCTACAGAAGTACTTTAACTACTAACTTGGTGTGAATTTGAGAGTGCAAAAACCTCAATCAAATGCATTATTAGTACAATTCAGTCTCACACTCATTCTCTGAAGCCATATTCAGCTGTTCATTGATTTATTTCTAAACGTGTGTCTGTAGAAGTCAATTCTATAAAATACAAACTATGGAAAATGATCTGTGAATTTACAGAATAATATCCAATGGAATATCTTATACTCCCAAACAGTTAAAATAGTCCAAACCTGTGTCATTACTAAGTTTATTTGACAGATTTGAACAAAGAGGAAGATCCCAGTGAGATTCTAACAGCCTGAAGTCATTATAGAGTGAGGACAGCAGCAGCACATCTGACTGAAAAAAACAACTGGCAGCCAAGTGTATGAGAGGTTCAAAAATGTGCTTTAACAAATCCAGATTGTCTCAGGCTTTTCAAGTTTAAATACTTTTATTACATATTTGTCCAAAGCCAGACTCTTATATAACTCAGAGAAAACCCAAGGTCCCTAGTGATATCACCAACTTCATTCCATAAACTCAAAATGTAGTTCAAGAATCCACTCCAACAATGATGAAAAATGTTACAGCCAACTTATACATGAAAAAAATAATAGATTAGATAACAAAGCATTTTTATAGCTACTCAAAGCACAGAATAGTCAGATTCATTGACTCTAGTCCCTGCTCATGTTACAGTTGTAATGGGGCAGAGTGGTGGAAATATGGCAGCATTTCTTGAACTACAACCTTCCTACATCAAAACTCCAATCACAGCAACATATCATTTAAATGGTATATTCAAAATGGATGAAGTGTCTTGCCTTGCACAATACACGGCTACAAATGCTTTTATTATTTTGTTATTCAAATTTCTCATTACATTTACATGCACACACACAAAAAAAAGATAACTGTCCTTGCTAATTTAAACTGATAAAAGTGTGGTTGTATGTATGATGTCTTGTTTTAATTAGCAATTATAGCTGTGGTTTAAGTTGTAGTCCTAACGCTAAACTACCACATGCGCCTGAACGCCTCGCAGCCCCTATTCGTACCTATTTGGTTCTTTAGCCTGCATGTAGACTGGGACAAGAGTGGTCTGACAGGTTTTGGGGCAAACATGATTTGAATTCTTTTGTTTAGCGTTCTCAGATTTCTCAGTGCGTGTAAACATAGTGACTGTGGCAGCTTTTGCCTGACAGAAGAGGACCACAGATGAGGGGGGGGGA